TGAAATTGCTGAACAACGGGACATGCATTTGTTTAATTATTCTCTTCGAATTATATAAACGTCACTCACGTAATGTTTAAATATTATAACAGAAATTTTATTCTACGCGACATCCTGTACGCTAAGGTACATTTTACTTTTGTTCCAATTGTGATGTACGATGTGTAGCAAAAATATTGGAATACTCACTTATCCTTAAGTGTCTTTAAGTGTTTAAATGGTATATTAAAATACAAAATACATATTTTTGTATTCTGTGACAGACAGAGATAGTGTATTTCTTTTCGTACTTGAAATAATGTTATTGGAAAGAATAAAAAATGAGGAACGGAAGTTTTCTTAGCAAGAAAAAGAAAGTATTGGCACACTTGTGTTTTGAGAGTAATGAAATCTCGGTTACGTGAATTCTCGCTATGTAAAGGTTTGCCAATACTTTTGTGATTAATAAATTTTAGTTTCTTTCTATTCCTTTCGACAACATTATTTCGAGTTCGAAAAAAAGAAATTTCTCTATATGCTTCAGAGTATCAGAACATGTATTTGACATTAATATAGTACCTATACGTCGAGATATTTAAAGATAAACAAGTGTGCCGATATTTCTTTCACCTTATTGTGCAATTTGTTATAATTGACTTCCTGCTCGAAACAATTTTACAAGAAAGTTTCATTATATGTTGATTATATGTTGTTGTTGACATATTGTTGCTATATTGTTATTTATACAAGAAATTCTAACTGCTACTCGTTCACTTCCCGTATCTACGAATTCAAAGGGTAACGTAAATCATTATGAATGCGGGAACATGCTGTTTTCATTTAGCTTTCTTTTATCTTTCAGTAGAATTTGACAATGCGGAATTAAACAGAAAAGAAAAGCGAACGAAAGCAGAATCGCACCAACATGCGACATCATTGTAACGTTTGATACCATAAGCTAAAAACAGAAATATGTTTCTCACGTAGTAGTGTGTCAAGATCCCGGTACTTATCGTATCGTATAAGTGTTTACAAAGCTGTAAATATGTACATAATTTTCATCGTTATTAAAATTCACTATTATAATAACTTGACCGTGTTCCTTTATTTACCATTCTACGCGTGCGATGAACTCACAGGAAAATTAGTACAAAAAAAATATGAATATTTCTTTGCGTTATTGTTAATTAGTGATGTATACAAAAAAATCCGTGATTGGACTCTTATATACTTTTCTCTTTTCATATTTTCTATAAATTATATAAGACGTTCGGCAACCGAACAAAGTATAATATAATTTAATTTAACGAATTTTAGTTTAACGAATGTATTAGTCCGAGAGCCCGCGACATAAAATTTCAGCCAATTTCATCAAAAATATCCTTTTGCTATTTGACTGTTTTCTACTAAAGAATAAAAATAATCCAAGGCTGGCAGAGCACAAACGGTGCATTGCTTCGCTAGAAAGTCGGAAACATGTAAGAAATAACAGTATCTTTGACTGAAATCATTATTACTGAAATTTTTAGTGTGTATTGTTGACATACCAAATTACGTAAAAAAGTTGGTCTGGCAGATTATAAGCGGTGCTAAATGGGTCTGGCAGTCGGAAAACCTTGTCGAAAAAACGAAGTACTTTATTAAAACATCTAATAAAACTATCAAGTAATAATTATTTTTAAACATTATATACATTAGTTATTTATAGAATATTGCTGTGATGATTTTTATTTCATACAATTATTATTACTATTTAACTTCGATAAGTCATGAAATTGCACGGCGCGCATATGTGTTCGCTCTTTTAAACGGCTGCCAGACCGATTTATCACCACTCAAAATTTGCCAGACCAAATTTTTTTAACCCTATGTGTATTACATATTGTTTATACAAAAAGTTTCAGAAATAATGATTTCAGTCAAACTACTTCGTTTTTCCGACAAGGTTTTCCGACTGCCAGACCCATTTACCACCGCTTACAATCTGCCAGATCAACTTTTTTATGCAATTTGGTATGTCAACAATACACACTAAGAATTTCAGTAGTAATGATTTTGGTCAAAAATCAAATTATTATAATACGCCATAGTGAAGCGTTGCACCACTGAATGCATGCCAGTTTCAGAACTAGGGAGACATACCATATTCAGAAAACAGGTTCATTTGTGTAATGAAATGAGTCACCCATTTCTGTCGCGGGCTCTCGGACTATACAGGGTGTCCCAAAAGTCGGAGAGGAGCCGGAAATGGGGGGTAGCTGGGACGATTCTGAACAACAATTTCCTTTGGAAAAATGTCGGATGGGGCTTCGTTAAGGAGATATTAAGCGAAAACCCCGACCAATCAGAGCGCGCGTAGACCGTTCTACGCTACGCGCTGGCGGCCGCGCTTGTACGCGAACAAGTGACACGACGTGCATCGAAGGACATTGACGCTGCCGCCTAGCGCGTAGCCTTCGCTACCGCGGCCGCTCGAATGGTCTACGCGCGCGCTGATTGGTCGAGGTTTTCTGTTAATATCTCCTTAACCCTTTCGTTACGGATGCCGACTATAGTCGGCGGCCGCGTGACGACCTGTGTGTACGGGTGCCGACTATAGCCGACCGCGGGGCCCGCGGGATGACCTGTGTGTATGGGTGCGGCACATTTCGCGGCGCGATGCCCCGTTCAGTGGCGTCACTCCCACGGCGCGTCCTGCCGTAAGCAAAGGGTTAATAAAGCCCCATCCGACATTTTTGCAAAGGAAATTGTTGTTCAGAATCGTCTCATCTACCCCCCATTTCCGGCTCCTCCCCGACTTTTGGGACTCCCTGTATATTGACAATATTATCAATGGAGATATGATTAGGGACCAGAGGTACAAATAAAGCATGCGACTTACCAACCGTTGTCTTGATACAGGACTACGTAGTGGCTTTGCTGTCGCTGATCATCGGAGTAGCTCTGCATTACCCACGTCGAAATCGGTATAGCTCTGCTGTCACTGATCATCGGAGTTGCTCTGCTTTACCTGCGTTAAACTTCGAAGTACTTTTCTTTGATGATGCATAAAATCTGCAACAAATGTTACATTAATTAATAACATGTTTCAAAAGTTACAGTACTTATTCTATATTCATAATAAATTAATAAAATTTAAATTTATGTTATTTACATACTAATGACATTAATAATTAAAGACAATATTACCTATTATTCTGCTTCCCTTGGTAAGCTGCATAATTTTTCTGGCGTTACGTGTCTAGAAATTTCGATTGAAAGTTTAAAAGTGAAGTAGAAGATCGTAAAATGGCGGTTGACAAACATTCCACAGATTCATGGCGTCAGATCCTGGAACATTCAAGAATTCGAATTTGAAACCAAGTTACGATAAATATATATTTTTACCGTATCTAAGCAACAAATTAATTTGGAAAAACGGAAAAAAGAAACGATAATACTATTCTGGAAGATATACTCCCATTGTACGAATTGATATTCGAACGTATATTAATTGGTACCTCATGGTGAACAAAAAGAATAAAAGTGCGAAATTGATGTAATTTTCTCAAAAAACCGATTCAATTAACAAGCAATGGTATTAATATATTGAAGAGACGGTAAGCAGTAACGCAAGGTAGAAATAACAACGATTAGATATTAATTGAATTGAATTATACTTACCTATTAATTGCCGGATCACCGATCGACACGACACACAATGCGGAATAAGTGGACAAAATTCAATATTAGTATATATCACAATGTGAGGCAGATTTCTATCGTAGAAAATGTGTGTCAGCGTGGATATTGTTATAAATAATCAGGTATCAATCATTTGTATCTATAATACAATCTTTATCTTTAAACAAACATACAGACACAACGGCAAAATATATCCCGAGTTTTCAACATATTTGGATAGATTATTTGTTATATTTTAAGAAACTTATTAGTTTTTTTGCAAATACTTGCAACGTTCGGTTTTACATTATTTTCAATAAGGGACCATACTGTTGGTGTAAGGTCGTAATTGGAAGTTAAAAATTCTGATTTAATTGATTTATGGATTTCTATAAAAATTATTTTTCACATTCTCAGCCAAACGGAAGCATAGTGTGTTAAATAATATATGGGTGCAACTTCTATTATTTATGAAACAAAAATTCCTAAAGAATTCGAAATATAGTCTACTAAAGCGACAATTTTACAATATTACATCATTTTTCTGTATGATAATCATAAACTCATACATACCGTTGGATTCAGAATAAAAACACGCTTATACTGATCCCGAAATAAATCAAAATTTTCACAAATTTCGAGGTGAGGTGGGGGTAATTTAAAAAAAAAATTTGTTTTTTTTTTAAATTTGTTGGTATTGGTTTATAGGCCTCTAAAAACAGTGTAATGATTGCTTGAACATTTTTTTGAAATCTCTAATCGTTTCCGAGCAAAAGTAAAAGGGGCGGCTCGAATAAAAGGGTTAATTTCTCCCTCATTACGCAAAAGTTGGACGTACCGAGGATGGTGTAATTCATAAGAAGGTCCCACAAACCAGTATACAAAGTTTCATAAAAATCGGGGTTTATTAATTTTTTGTTAAATTTGTTAATTTTGTTGCGATTGTATTAATGTTTATGGTTAATTTTAACTTTTTTTGTGAATAAATAGCAATATATTTATATTAGTAATGAAATTTTGATTTTTGTCCACAATTTTGCTATTTGTCCGCACTGTGCGACACGTCTTCTCTCTCTAATTGCCGCCGAGCGAAGAACGTCTCCTTCTCTCCTTCGTGCTTCCGCGCAGTGGGTTGTGGGGGCTCGACCAATGAAATTTCAGTATTTAAAAATGTGAAAGAAACGGTAAACGTGATTGGTTGTCACTTTTCAATATCATTAGCGGGCTTTTTGAATGGAAATTGAAACTGGAAAGTGAAAAATATCGATATGTATGATAGCAGTAGTTGGTGGTACACACCGATACCCTAGACATGTGTGTGTGTGTGATGCCTACTATCGCCACGTAGGTTTATGTCTCTAACTAAAAACGTGGCTCCCATAACAGTGAGTGAGCACCACTTTTACTTCACATGCAATGAAGTAACAAATTCCTTATATAGTCAAACCCGTCAAACCTGATAACGAATTGGTAAAAATTATTGTGTTAAGAAAAAATTAATCTATTACGATTTAAAGTAAATACTACTCATAATTTATTCGAAATTAACAAGATACTTAAGTACTGTGTAAAAATAATCGATATCCATAATAGTAACTTTTACTAAGACAAATTCATACATTAAATTTATATTTATATTGTTTATTTATAACCTACACGAATTTTATTTTTAGTTCGAGATGGAGACTGTTTTGCAACAAAAAGTGATAGAAGCAACTCAATGTATTGAAAAACAATTAGACGCTGAATTAGAAAAGTTGGACAATTTGGATATTAATGATTTTGAAAAATTGCGTGAAAATCGATTAAAAAAGTTAAAATTGCATCAACAACAAAAACAAAATTGGCTATCTTTGGTAATGTGTATCTTTGTTTATTAAATTTTTTGTAATATTTTCATTAATATGTTTTGTGGGGCACTTTTATAATATTAAGTTTTATGAACACCTATTGTAATGCGATTACATGGTTTTTATACATGATTTTAGGGCCATGGAGAATATTTAGAAGTGTACGATGAAAAAGAATTTTTTGAAGTATCAAAAAAATCTGGAAATATTGTTTGTCATTTCTATAAAGATGATTCACCAAGATGTAAAATAGTGGATCACCATCTTAAAATACTTGCTAAGAAACATATTGAAGCAAGATTTTGTAAATTAAATGTAGAACGGTGTCCATTTTTAACTGGTAATACATAACTTATATATAACTCTTAAACGCTTAAAATTTCTAGTATTAATATAATAATATTATTTACAGAACGTTTAAGGATCAAAATTATTCCTACAATTGCTCTTATTTTAAATAGTAAAACTACAGATTATATTGTAGGGTTTACTGACCTGGGAAATCGTGATGATTTTTCCACAGAAACATTGGAAAACAGAATTTCACTCTCAGGTGTAATCAGAATTGACGACAATTTTTCTTCAGAAAAAGAAGAAAAACCATGGTTACCGCAGGGTTTAAAATCAAAAACTATTAGAGAATCTGATTCACCAAACTTTGATGATTCAGATATTGACTAAAAATATTCATAATAATTAAGAAAAATTTATTCATATACATATTATTTATGTTTTTGTTAAATCGCTTCTTTTCATTCTAAATTATAAGTTTATTTGTATTAAAAATTTTTACCAATGTAACACTTCATTAATAAAAATTCGCAATTATTCAATCAATATATTTCAGTGTATAAAATGTGTGTTAATATTTTAGTACTAATTATAAGATATCAATAATTACAAGATATAATTATTATATTCTTCTAATATATATTTTGTACATTTTGTTAACAATATACTTACTGTTATAAGAATATAAAAATACTTTTAAATTATTTTATCATTTAAATGAAATAAAAATATGTAAATTCTTTAGCATTATTCTCTGAGTTTATAAGATCAAAGGTAAAAATAGAGTCCTCAGAATGTAATGATATAATGTATATAAACAAAGTAAACTAATTGTAAAAAATCTAATATTTTTTTGAGAATAATTTTGAAATAGCGTTTACTCATGAATATTATGTGAACATAATGCAATTGTATATTTGCAAAAAATATGTGAAAATCTTAGTATTTTTTTAAATTTGAAGTTATAAAATAGTAAACTATGAAAATAATATTACTAAAAAATGCTATTTAAATTCATTTGATTTGACTATATTTAATGATAGTTCCTTAAATTTTAATGTTATTACACTATAAATAATCCATAAAACAATATGTAACTCATTACATTGTTTTATTTTACAGTAAAGGTGATATATGGCGTATGCATTGAACATTAACAACATTATTTTTCAAATTTTCAATTGAATCTGAAATTAAATATAATTGAGAATATATTTTAATGTTATTATTCTAAACATGCTACTTGTATACATGCATCATTTCTTGCATATATGTACAAGAAATTTATGTTATTTAGTTTTACATGTTTAAGATAAATTGAATTTAGTGAGAAAATATTCTGTTTCTTAGATTTGTATATATTTAATAACTAACTTGTAATATTATAATTATGCAATGTATCACAGAGATAATTTTGCATACCTTATAAATTATATGTACACATTGAAATAAAAATTTATTTATACTAATGCACTAATATGCAAGTGTTACTCATAGTAGATACTTAAAATGAAGAGTAAATGAAGGTAAGAGAATACAATACTGTATCTATGAAAATTCTTTAAGAAATTATATAAATCACATAATAATGCCCCTGCTTGCCTATGAATTATATACTTAATGTTCGTACAATCTTTTTATGAAATTATATTAAAAATATATAATACATATTTAGAAAACTTTTTTACATGAAAGCAGACATATAAAGGATACACATTGAGAGTGTCATGACAGAAGGACGTATAAAGAGGTTTTGACAACTTCAGTTTTTGCATGCATTACATGTAAATAATTTGATATATGTGTTTTTTTTTGTTTTTTTTTTTCAAATTTAATTTTATGCAGACACGCCCTTCTAATTTAACACTCCTATATGTTTTCACTAATATAAAATATATACTAATGCACGTTATGCACATACATATGGATGTGCACATTCTAAGTATAATTACATATTATTGGGAATGCAAATCACAAGAGTAAGACAGCAATTTGTATTTATTTGAATTATATATGTGAAACTAGATTTGATAAAAAAAAAGGTATTTTATTAGGTATTTATTACTTACTTAAAAATAGGATAAGGTATTAAAGAACTATAAAAAAGAGATTACATGATTGAATTCGTTTTGCAGTAAACGACGCTTGTATGTACTTTGAACTTTTGACTTCATAACTGCATATATTTTTCTTATAAATTAAATACGAAAAATTTGTTATGTATAATATTTCGGATTACTAGTAAATTTATAATTTATAAAAAAAAATGACACTACATTATACAGGGCATTCACCTACTGGTGGTAGATATTTTAAGTAATGATTTTACACCACAAAGTAAAACGAATATCAAAATTAACAAATTTGTGTTTGAGGATTTGTGTCTGAATTATTAATTACTAAGAATAAGCGAAAAGTTTAATTAATCTTTTATTATTAGAGAAGATGAAGAAGTTTATTTAGCTGTTCTATACAAAATTAAATTCTCCTTCAAATTTAATTAAAACATTTTTATTGTAATTGTCACAAAAAAGTATGAATATATCTAAAAGAAAACAAAACTACATGAGGTAACTATCCCTATACATGGACAGATTTTATTGAACCCTTTGTTGCATGATGCATCATATATAATATACCTTTTCATTCGCCAATTAATCTCTCCTAAATGTAAATATAAATTTTTTGCATGAAGCCCTCCATAGTCTCCAGATATTAATATGAATTTCGATTTTTGAACTACCATATTTCATCGACAACTTCCAATTCTAAAAATCTGATCTTAAATTTGTAATAGACAACTAAAAAAGAAACATGGATTCTGAATTTCATAAAGATTATAGCATTTTTTCAATTTTTGATCCAACGTACCACATTGGTCACTTTGAATGTAGGGAATTTGAGTTCAGATTTGTTATCAGTCAACACAAACATCATTCTATCAAGTTTTAAGAAGTAGGGTTCAATCTAATCAAAATTACACAATGTAGGAATACAAAAATTAAATATGAAATTTCATTGGAGTACATTCAGCCGTTTAGGCGTAATCGTGTAACCAGACGTACGCAATGTTGATTTTCATCTTATTTCGGTTTGTAGAATCACCCCTTAAAATATTTACTACAAATAGGTAAATACCCTGTATAACACACACGAAACGTATTGTTTGTTTAAATATCATTAAACAGTCAGAATGATTGCATATACATTTAATAGTTCCTAAATGTGTATAGTACTAAACAAAACCTCATTAATTACACTTTGTACATATTATTTTATGTTTTCTTTTAAATAAAAATGCATTAAATATAAATCTTTGCTTTAACATTAGTATGTTGACAAATACTATATTTGGAAAGTAGTTACGTGAAGTTATAGTGCTGTTTAAAATTACAAGGTAAACACAAAAATGTGGTCAATAGAGCACTCATTAGACTACATATACTTCCTGACGCTTTTTATATCACAAATAAAATCTAAAATAATTAGGATTACTTAGACTAGGAATGTCTAAATGAAGCTACAGAGCTTAACAGCTCTTCCTCTACTCTATTGCATTAACATGATGCATAATAGAACCACTTGTTGAATCTTTTTGTATTTGAATATTCGAACTCATCAGTGATTCAAGTATTCAACAACTATAATTTAAATGCACGACTCTTCAAATATTTTGTGCGCAAATCAAGTATCTGGATACTTGTAATATTTAAATAGTGCGATGTACAGTATAAATCAAATTCTTTGGATTTACCATTATTTTATAAACTTTATTTTCATTTAAGATATTTCCCGTAAAAATTAGTATATCTTTCGGTTAATGAACAAAATGTACAGCAAAAGATAAAGTTTGTAACTTGGTTGATTTGTTTTTCTTCAATTGAGTATGGTAGAGAAACGAGCTGGATTAGGCTTCTTTGACCTTTAGACATACCTGATTTAGACAATAATTGTTTCTTCTTTTACAAACATGTAAAGATTACGGTAACGTTTGAAAGTGACAATCACGTTGCAGAAATACTTGTTTAATCTAATACTTAATAATAATATTTAAGATTGATTCAGCTAGTCTAAGTTAATCCCATAAAAGGTCAATGTTACTTATGTTCGTTACATGCATAAGCATAAGTAAGAATTTTACGTTCACGTAACTAATGTAATTTAACATTTCTTTGAGAACAAAAACATTTAATTACTAAAATAAAATTAAAACTTTGATTTGCTTAACTTCTCTCTGTTAATTGATAAATGAATAGGTTTTAGAAAATTATAACCAATATATTCACATTATTTTAACAACTTATATATATATATATATTTTTTTTTTGTTCTCAATTATGAAAACAAATTTGACCAGCTAATTTAAGTATTGTGTTGATTTAACTCACTATACACATTTTGTTGTTTGACAAAGTCATAGAAGCATATGCCTTCTACCTTTAATACGATTCACCAAATTGCATATTTTAAGTGCTGGCCCAAGTTTTAGTCCCATATATTTCATCATCATGTCAGAATTTAAAAGTAATAAAGCTTTTCCATCAATTTCCTGAAACGAAAAAACTTGATGTTACTAACACTATAATATCTATTATATTACAATTACTATTCACTAATTCTATTCACTAATAGTAATAATAATTCACTAAAATTCTATTCACAAATGTTTCTCTATTCACCAATTTATTCTAATATTATCACGTTCAACAATACTATTTAAACTAACTTACATGTTTTCTGAATAAGTCTGCATGTTGTCCTAACGCGGGATCAGTGATACCAATATAATGTATTACATCTTCAATAGTCCACTCTGCTGGTTCAACAGAGGCTGTACGGTTCATAGAACTTTCAGACTGAGTAGTGGATGTTGCAGCTTCAAGTTCTAATGGTGACAATAACACAATAATATTTATTTAATAAATACAAGAATTCTTTATAAAAGTTAATCTTTAACTATTGCATTTACCGGGAACGGATTTCCGAGGTTGTTTTGCAACTGTAGGCGATGAGAGCGTCGAATTATTCATACTTGGCACAGAATTTTGTTGTATCTGTTGTTGTTGGGTGGTTGAGGATAAGCTTTGTTGACTTTGAGACGACCACCTTCTTTTTTCTGCGGTAGTATTGGTATTAGTTGTAGCGGTAGTAATATTAACTGTTTCTTCGTTATTTGTGGACTGAGGTTGTTGAGTATTTGGGCATTTATTGCATGCTTCTTTTCTTCTAAACAACAGGTGCTCACATGCACAAAGATCTTCAAGTTGTCGCCTAATGTATATATAAAAATCCTCTTCTTCCATAAATATTGGTAACCTAACGGAAGTAGGTTTACTCTCTAAAATTAAGCTTATGCTTTCTCCTTCACCACGTTTTAATAAGCTTAGCATTTGTCTTGGACTCATTGCTGCCATCAGGAAAGCTTGAAATATATCTCTTGTAACATTTAATATGGGACCAGTGCCAAATTGTGCTGGCATTGCTTTTACTTTACGAGGATCAAAGTAAGGACCACATGTGCAATTATGATTTACATAAATTGTAACTGTAATACAACAGAAGTAATGAGTCAAAAAACAATAAGTAAGCAACAAAGAGAAACTTATGTAATTATGACAATGCATACCATTCTCTAAAGAATGTGGTTTGGTATTAGCTGTACTAGTGTCAGGTTCAGTAGCTGGTTGCGGAGGAGCACTGGAACCTGCAGGACTCACTAATGCAACAGCTGGTTCTCCATTAGTACCTCCACCTGATATTGCCATTACCGGTAAAACATTACTAGTCCTCGACTTAAATCTATTAGGCCCTGTTGCTGTAAATATTCATATACATTGATTATTAACCCCATAGTACCAACTTCTATCCATCGTATAAACCTCAGCAGCAGGAGACTTACTTTACTCTCTTAATTGTCAAATATTGTCTAATATTATCAGTATTATGTTTAATACAAATCCACATTTTAGCAAAGTCGATTAGAAAAATATTATCATTATAATATTATAAACATTATTATATCTCTTACATTTCTGTCTTGGTGGCTGCAACGGATGACCACTTTTAAAGCACCACCCAGCAGGAAAGATATCTCTAGAGTCAAAGCGGCACCAATAATCAAAAGCTCCTCTCCAGCCATCAAATGTAATGTGAATCATATCATCTTTAACAGCACCAACAGTTGCAGTACATATAAGTTGTGGATTTTTTTTGTCTATGGCTTCTAGTTTATGGCCAATTTCAAACATGTTAGAACGTGGTGTTTTTGGTTCGCGTTTAAATACTTTTGCAGGAGCCATTTCTGCACCATTTAGTGTTTTTAACAGAAACATGGGCCAACTGGAAGCATTCATTCGGAAGCCCAAGGGAGGTTGCAACATGCCTCCAGATTTTTCACAATGACCAATTGGATGAATCTCATTACTGTCAACTAAGCGCCAAAAATCATTTTTATTATCCGAACCATCTAGTCGTAATCTAAGGCGTGGACCAAGTACACCAACCACAGTTGCAATACAAGTTGATGTTAAATTACGAGGATCGAGAGCTTCCAACTTCATACCCATTTTAAATTCATTAATTGGCGGAACTTCGTGCTAAAATTAAAATTAAATATTACAATTTGTACTTTCTCATTGAAATTGAATTTATTCATTATTATCAATTTTTTATACCTGTTTAAAGCATTCAACTGGTGCAGCTTGGCTATTCGTTTCTTTCAAATAAAGATCCCAATCAAAAGTTTGGTACGTTTCATACTGAAATGGGCCGCCAGAGGTTGATGGAGGATGAGACACAGTTGTATGATTATTTGAATTTGCAAAAGATTGGGTCGTAGATGGAACATTATTTCCACTTAATAATCCTGATGGCGAAAGAGATGGTGCAGGTGATGACTGATCCCTATTATCTAATGAAGAAAGTTACTTATTAATATAACATAACGTAACATGGTAAACAATATTTTTATTATTCTGAATTTTTAAAAGCAACTAACTCTTTTTTATATCCGTTTGTCCTTCCTTTTTCTGGTGCTTATTCAAACAAAATGAAGAACAGAAATCTTTTGTGGGTCCATCTTTTTGTTCTAATCTCACTGGTGTACCCCTTATTACATTGTCGCATTGAACGCACGCACCTCGTACATAAGCTTTACGAAATTCAGATAAGCAGGTTTCTGAACAAAATTCTTTCTTCCCATGTTGCGTTGGAAGAACATATTTTAAAGGTTGCTTAGTTTCTCCACACCATGTACAAGAGTTTTTTGATTTTGGTGGTCTTCCTGGACATATTTTTATAAATACAAATACTTTAAAGTTAATATAATACAACCCATAAAAAATAAGTGACTTAAATATATTATGTGTTACAGAAAATCATAGAAAATAAGTAGCTGAATTATATAGAATACATAGAATATTAAACTATAATATTTGCATACCTCGCATTTTGCTTTGTGTAGACGACATAGTCCTTCATAGAAACACGATAGCTAGTACTAAAATTTACTGCATAACAATACTAGTTTAATTCAATAATTAACGACATCTTTGCATCTATTAATAAAATAAATTTTGGAAGCACTACCTAGTTTTAAATTGAGAAAACTTCACTTTTAGTCGGTTTATGTATACATTACACAAACATTCGTATGGCGCAAGATACCTTCTTGTTAACTTTCATATAAGCAGTAATTTAATAAAATCTTCCGATAATTATTTCGTTAGAATCAAAATAATATATTCCGTATCAAAAGTTATTATGTCAAGCCGCCATATTGCTTTGATTTGGCCGCGCAATCCGTAGATTAAAAGATAGTAGAAAGGTGTCACCAAACGAATATCCTTACTTTATGCCACAAAGTATAATTTTATTTTGCTGTTGCAAAAATTGCTAACGAAAATTGATGACTCTTATTTATAATTAACCTTTAAATGGGATTTGCTAGTAAAAGTGACACTTTATCTTTTTTACATTTTATTGTTGATATAACGCAATTTCTTTTCGTAACACTTTCAGGGTTCGTTTGAAAATGATTACATGGAAACTTACATCACAAATATGATTCATTTGCGTATCAAAATATTTGTAATGCATTTATACAATGAAAGTTTAAACTATAATATAAGTTATAAAAATATTTTATGCCAATAAATATTATTTCAATATTCTGTCCAACATGAAAATGCATTCATTTTCACATAAATATACACATGTATATGTAGTAACTACTACGTACTATCGCTGTGAGGAAAGCCTTAACTTTGCCATCGTCAGAATTTCAGTTCAAGCAAATGGTATCTCACGGGTGGAGGTCGTTGCGTCAAATTTCACAAATCATGAATGAATTCTAAGTTTTGTTGTATATTTTCGACGTATTCAAAACATCGTTGATCCTAGTAAGTCTTCTCTTGATAATTAAGTGATTTTTATAAATTTACATAATTCTACATTGTGAAAAATCGCAAATTTATCAAACGTTTTCAAAGCATGTAAACAAACACTGAATTACGAAATGTTGTCACATAATTTATTTTTTTTATATCTGCAGCTTTACTAAAGATTTATGAAGGAAATTATATTCTTATTTATTCGTTGTTATTTATCTTTCAAATAAAAAGCAACTAACATATTTAGATAGTGTAAAAGTACTCTCAAGTAAATGAAAAATCTTTGTTTTTGTTTTAGTGTCTGTGAATCGTCTGCAATTATTATATTTTAATAATAAATAAAATAATGTTCTTAAAATATTTTGTGTTAAAGTGCAGTACCACCAATGATTTAACTCAACAAACAACAATGTAGTTTTATTGCTAACAAACAAAAATACATAAACCATACAACAAATTAAGTGTTTTAATTAAATGTTCTACACAGCATAAGTACTCCTGCAAAATATACATTAAACAATGAATGAAGTAAGCGGAGGGAAACAAGACATACCTAACACTTCTACTTGGGAAACGCTATCAGGACAATCGGCATCTTCGTTTTCTACTATGCATCATCATCATCAACCATTACAACAAGATGCAAGTCCAACAGTTGCACAAGTCATAGTTCCTACTCCTGTAAAACTTCAAGCACCTATGTTAAGTTCAGCGCAAACTATACCTGATCACTGTTCGCAACTAGGTCACATACAACAACCAGCTTTAATAGCACAGGTAACGATACATTAAGAAAGTATAAAAACTTCATTAAGACTAATGTGAAGTTAAATTTTGTTGTGACAAGTTTTGTATCAATGGTCCTAGGGTACACCACCAGGAACTTTTACAGAATCTGAACTTTCGCCAGAATTACAACAACAGGGATGGAAAAAATTTTGGAGTAAACGAGAAAACCGACCGTATTTTTGGAATAAATTAACTGGAGAATCTTTATGGGTAGTACCACCTTTAAAACCTCAGGTACTAAGGAATAAAATCTATTAGGTTGTTTGGAAAATTCGTAATATTCTTAAAAGTAGGGTACTTGAAAAATAGTCTGATTTTGTTGTGATCAAGAAATGTGGTATAGACTGCCACACGTGCCAGACTGTAACGCTCAATTAGTGCATATTACACCAAAATATCCAACTTTAAAAATATTCCAAATCTTGTTAGACTTTCACAAAAAATTGAGTTTGAAGTTTTTAATCAACTTACCTTCATTATTTACTTGAATATTTCTATTGGTGTCTACCAACAAACGATTAGCACAAGTAAAGTGATAATCGTTGCGTCCGAAGCGGCACGAAATTTCCTGACGACTTAATAGTTATAAATTAATATTGACTTATATATGTCAACTATATGCTTATTTAAGTTTGATCCGATTACGGATCCACTTGGTATCTGTGGTGTACAACCTGTTTCTGGAAATGGGGCCATTCCCTCTGGAGGAACAGTCAAACGTAGAGCTTCAGAGGATAGTATTGTTCCACCTGCAAAGAAATTTGTATTAGCGTACGTCTAAGTAACTCAATTTATGTAATTTTTACCTACCATATTAAGGTACTTTCGAATGTTCTAATGCAATGTTTCAACGTTTTAATCTAACAATAGTGGTCCATGGGATTTGGAGATTCCAACGAATGTTATAATATATGAAAGAGCACCATCGAATTTACCTCATGTTCATCCTGAAGCAGAAGCATTACGTTGTGGTTTACTTGCAAAACTGAGACAATGCTATCAAGAATTGTGTCATACTCGCGAATCAATAGATGCGCCTAAAGATTCCTTTAATAGATGGTTAATGGAAAGAAAAGTTATAGACTGTGGATCAGATCCTCTTTTACCAAGTCAGTGTTTTCCTGAAATTTCAATGTCTATGTATCGTGAAATTATGAATGACATCCCCATCAAATTAGTCCGACCAAAATTCACTGGTGATGCAAGAAAACAATTATCACGATACGCGGAAGCTGCAAAAAAAATGATCGAATCAAGAGCAGCTTCATCTGAAAGCAGAAAGGTAGTGAAATGGAATGCAGAAGATACTTTTCAGTGGTTGAGACGAACAGTGGGTGCTACGTTCGATGATTTTCAAGATCGTCTTGCACATTTGAAACGTCAATGTCAACCACACCTTACAGAAACTGTAAAAGCTAGTGTTGAGGGTATTTGTTTAAAAATTTATCATTTATCAACAGAGTATGCAAAAAAAGTGAAGGATAAAAATAATCAAATATTAAAAGATAATAGTTTAGGAAATGTCATACCAATAGGAGGTCCAGCTAGTACACAAAGAAAAGTTTGGTGTTACTCAGTGCAATTTTCACTTCCAACTCCTCGCCTTCCACAACTGGATTATCTTCCTGAACGTGAACAAACATTGTTGCGTTTTCATGGTGATACTGTGTGTATTAATAACATGCATCTTGCTAAATTGGAACATCTATACAGATACAATTGCTTTGATGATAAAAAATTTGAAATGTTTTTACCGCGTGTTTGGTGTATGTTGAAGCGTTATCAGACATATCTTGGAATTAATGAGGGTCAAGCAACACAAATGGCTCTCCCTGTTACAGTTTTTGAATGTCTTCAAAGATCATTTGGTGTGACATTTGAATGCTTCGCGTCTCCATTGAATTGCTACTTCAGACAATATTGTTCAGCATTCGCCGATGTAGATTCTTATTTTGGATCAAGAGGACCTTTCTTAGACTTCAGGCCTGTCAGTGGATCGTTTCAAGCTAACCCACCATATTGCGAAGAACTCATGGAAGCCATGGTCAATCATTTTGAACGCCTTTTGGCTGATTCAGCTGAACCCTTATCTTTTGTGGTTTTCCTACCGGAATGGCGAGATCCAGCACCTAATGCTTTGATAAAGCTAGAAGGTAGTCATTTTAAACGAAAACAAGTAGTAGTACCTGCTATGGAGCATGAATACAGACATGGGTTTCAGCATATATTACCAAAGTATGTCCCAACATATTACAATTTGCATATACACTGAAACAGTGATACTATGAATACTTCTCATTTCAGAGGTGAAGTTAACATTAGAGCAGCTCATGGAACGTTAGTTGTGTGGTTACAAAATGCAGCTGGTGCTGCTCGTTGGGGACCTACAGAGGAGAGAGTTGAAGCATTATTAGAAGCGTGGCGTCCAGGAAAAGAAAGAGAACGGGATAGACAAGAACTTTTATCACCACCCAGGCAAACTCATCAGCCAATACCTTCCACACCTATTCCTGTTTTAACAACCCCTACAACTCCAACAATACAGACATTGTCTACACATCCTATATAATTATTATATAATGTTTTGCAACCTAGGAAAGGAAAGTAAAATAAGTCTTGCGCTTTAATTTTAATTCTTTCCTACAAGAAACCAGATTTTTTACAGAGACTATTTGATATATAACTCATCAATTTATTTCATATGGCTGACATATATAAACGGTACCGTGATTTTACATATTGGTTCTAGATAGTTTGATTACACGTACATTAATACTTTAATACTACATACTATATTAGTTGACACATTAATTAATATCATTTAAAATGGAGATATATATGTTCGCAAAGGATAACATTCATTCAAATATTATGATATTTTATTATGTCATATAAATTTCATGAAAACTCTTTCTACTAAAAGTAGAAGGAATTTAATATTTAATTTGATAATTATTTCGTGATGTTTGTCATACAGTGCAATTCCATTACCTGTTTCCATAAGAAATGTTAAAATGTGTAAGATGTGACAATGATGTATCTATTATATAGGTATAAAAACATCATTCAATAATTAATATAAAATCACGTTGCGTGAAGTCTAATCTTTGTAATAGTGTTAATTGTTGTTAATTAATAAGGAGACTTTGTGAAACGTGATACCTTAGATAGTAGAGGTACTTGCCATGCAAGCAGAAATTGGTACTATCATGAAAAGTTAAAAACAAATTGTGTATATGCGCGTGCTTGCGCGCGGTATGTGTGCGTATGTATGTATGTATGTATGATCGTATGTGCTTGAGTGTGTAAATAGTGAAATACATACTATATTTACTTGTTTTTAATTGGAAGATTACTTTGTATGGATATAATTTTAAGTAATATTCCTTTTTATACCTTGTATCCATGACAATCTTTTCTTTTAGTATAAAATAACAAAGAAATGCGACGGACATTGTTCTTTCTAAATGTATCTTCATCAGTGCAATATTTTATATAAATCTTTAAATAGACTTTATGAAGAGATATGTACAGAAATATATTAACTTCCTTGGCAGATAACATTTTTGTTATTTTTCGGTTATTTTTCAGAATTGTTGATCTGTATTTGATAATCTTATACAAAATTAAATAGTACAAAAATTTTCTATGTACAAAATCAATAAAAACAAATGTTTTCTCAAGTTTTTTTCTAAACTAAAGATACATTTTTGTCTTCATCGTAATTCTTATGCTGAGCAAAAATTGTATGTGTTACATTTATCCAACGAAAACTTGCTTTTTTTTCTCAAAGTAATATACTGCCTCATTACAGGTAAACGTAATCTAAAGAACTAAAACAATGTAAGTAATTATAGACTTTTCTTATATTTTTTTATATTTATTTCTTCTAAAGCAATCACAATTATAAACCTTTTAATTTTTAGTTAACTTGGAATATAATATTAAGAAAAACATATACAAAATTATTTCATATTAAAAAAAATGTTTTAAACAAAAATTAATAGAAACGAGTTGGAAAGACCACGAAATGGTCGTTTTTTATCATATTTACATTCTTGAATACCATGTTATACTTTTATATTCATATTGTGTTAGAAGCGTTAAAGCATTTTAGAATAAACTAATAAAAATATAATAGTAAACCAGAGTGTAAATTCTACAAAATTGAATATATTGATTTATCTCTTTATAGATTCATTATTTTTGTTTCACCTATAGTTTAACTTCCAGTGAAATTCAATTTAATCAAACTATAATATTTTTCTATTCAGGACCATTTACTTATTATTATTATTATGCAATAGGATTTCACATTTGGATTTTTATTGTCCTTTTACATTATGTTTGTGTATAGTATTTACAATATTTAATATTCACATTGTATATAAGTATTATATATTTACATATATTTATATTATGTATGTACATTGTAATAATAGAACTATTAAAAAATTGAGTTCGTTATTACTAAGATATCACGAAACTATATTTAATAATTACAATGATAAAAAAATAATCTATGTTATATTATGCACTGTTAATGTTATATTAATAATGTTATCATATATGAATGAAATAACATTCTACATGTTATTTTTTAAAACTGACTCATGATTTTTCTTAAATTGGAAAACTACTGAAATAAAGTAATTTATATTCAAATTATTACATCAGTAAATAATTAAAAATGCATCTTTATATTAAAATTTGTCTACTTATATAAAAACTTGTATATTTCATTATTTACATATCGTACAAAGAAATTATAATTTTCTTTATGCTTCATCTTCACTTTGAGTTTCAATAGTTTTTTGTGTTAAGGAAAAATCGTCAGTATTGTGTGTTTGTAAAAGTAATACAATTTTGTTCAATAATTTATGACCTTGCTTTCTTTCACAAATTAAATCATAAATAGATTTTTCTTCCGCATCATTAATGAAATCTATTAATACCAATCTTATTGCATCAAGATCAAATATACAATGGTTTACTCCAAATTCAAATTTATTAAAACTGATTACTTTCTCTTTCTTTAAGATCATATTTAAACGTTGTTTAGCTATATATGTTATGAAATCAAAAAATAGATAATAATCCATTCCATATGTGGATTTTAATATTAATTGACAATGGTCTGCCCAATTACTCATATCTTGACAGTCATTAACTTCTTCTATTACAGAACATAATTCCTTTTTTAACCCATGCCATACATCCATGATATTGCATCCATTGATCCAATTATGATTAATAGAAATTGTATCATTCTGTTGAAAAGCATAATGGTAAATGTCATATATATGTATATATATATATCAAGTACTCTTTAACAATTACAATCATAAGTGACTTACCAAATTCCAAACTTGATGATGCCATCCAGATGGTACAAACATGATTTCTCCTTGGTTTTGAATTACATCAATATACTTTAATGCGCGTTTATCGTAGGCCTTATATTTTTTAAAATCGTTAAGTTCTTCAGAAGTTGCATCATATATTAACTGTCCATGAACATCTCGTAGAAAGTCTTCTTGATGCGGAGGGAATAGTAACCAACGTTTCTTTCCAACTATATTTGCAGACCAACTATAGGATCCAAACACATCTGCATGCAATGGTGTCCTAAGTATTAAAAATGATTACTTGTAACAACTTTATAAAACAAAAAATTTAATATATAAAGAAACTTTATTTTACCATGTTCCACTTGGTCCCATATACACAAACCTATAATCATCATTCAATTGAGGATGTGCAATATAATATTCATTTAACCAATCAGATGCAAAATATTGGGGAATATTATACATGGGAGCATTAGGAAATAATCTTGGACAATGCCAATCTTTCAAGTATAAAAGTGACCTAGAATCTGAATAATTACTTTTTGTATAGTCCATCCAATAATTTAAATAATCTTTCATTTTCATATCATCTTTAGATTGTGAATTGTAATATTTTTTATTGCAATCTGCAACTGGTACCACACAATTTCCTATAAGAAAGCAGTTTCAATGAATACAATATAAAGCATTATATTATAAATAATGTGTGTTTAAAGCGATAGGAAAGAATATACAAAGAAAAAAATGTGTGTAACAGTGAAAAATATTTACCGAACAATAAATCCAAAACGTCAAAATCTGGAGCATCCTCATCACTCCATTGTCTTCTACAAGACCAATTTTCTGTCACTTTTGAATTGAATATACATGGTTTATTTGGAATTAAATACTTTGAAAAAAATTCATCATATGTTATTGACGGATTGACATGATCAATCCAATCTATTATGGCGGTATCCTTGTTAATGGATAACCTTTGAGTCTTAATCTCGAGCACTTGTAACATCTTGCACTTTCGCTTTTCATTAAACTGAGTAATGTAACATCAATATATTTTTATATGATTAGTGTGTAGAAATCAACGTATAGCTGTTTTATAAATTATAATGCTGTTTTTTAAGCAGACACAATGTCACATATACTATTTAAAAATCACCTTGAAATTTTACTAAGTTGTACGCGCACATGATTTATGCAATATTATATTTTTAATCGTTATTTATCATCAGGGTTATTATCACGAATACAACGAATCAACTATGGTAAACCATCATTTGCTATTTGCAGTTTGTTTACTGTGTCAAGTATCTATATAAACATGTTGATCATTATTATTTACTTTTCATCCATTTATATGTTTCTTATCGTGAAGGCATAGAAAAGTATGAAAAAATAATGATAAAAATAGGTGTTAATTAATACAATTAATTTAATAAATATATAATACAGTATAGTACCGGTATAATATGTTTCATTATAATTTTAATATAATTTATTTAAATATATTATCTTCAGCAAAAACGAAGATGGTTGTTGGATAGATTAAAATAAAAAGAGGCAATTAAATTTAAATATATGTATTCAAACTAAACTAGAATGTTATAAAAAATGTTTCCGTGCTATAAGTACATATATTATTTTTTAAATTTCCCTCCAATGGTAGAATTGGTAGTAGTACCAACAAAAGAAGTAACATACAACCAGAGATGGGCAAAACCCTAGGACTCTAGAATAAATCTGAAGTTCGCCGATATGTTTGTCTCTTTTTCTCTTTCGAACATTTCCCAGAGAAAGAAACAAGACAAACACATCGGGAAACTTCAGATTTATTCAAAGCCTAGGGTTTTGCCCATCACTGCATGCAACATTTCAACTAGTAATATATTCATACTAGTAATTATATTCATTCCTATATGCACATCTATAGAGGGTGTCCCAAAAATATTGGAGGTCATTGAAAGGTATGGTTCGGGAAGTGATTTGAAACAACTTTTTCTTTAGCGAAAATGTTGTCCGAGACTTCGTTGAGAAGATATTAACGGAAAACACTGACCAATCAGAGCGCGCGTATACCGTTGGAGCGGCTGCGGTAGCGTATGAGCGCAGCCGCCTAGCGCGTAGCTTACGCTCAATCGGCATACTCGCGCTCTGATTGGTCAGTGCTTTCCGTTAATATCTCCTCAACGAAGTCTTGGACAACATTTTCGCTAAGGAAAAAGTTGTTTCAAATCACCTCCTGAACCACCCCATTCACTGTGATACAACATTTTTGGGACACCCTGTATATGTCATGTATTATGCATGGACGATGGTGGTACCATAACTGGTAATGTTCCCCTCTCACACATGCAGTACCACAGCCTACTTTAAAATCGGTTGGCACCAGTGATGGGCAAAGCCCTAGGGTTCGAATAAATCTGAAGTTCGCCGACATGTTTGTCTCGTTTCGTTTTTTGAACATTTTCCAAAGAAGGAAGCGAGACAAACACGTCGGCAAACTTCAGATTTATTCGAAGCCTAGGGTTTTGTCCATCTCTGTGTGGCACTACTGTTTACAAGTCTATACCACAAGTTTATCTAGCTAATTTGCGCGCGGATTTTTCAATTGATCAGTAATTTTTGCTGATCCTTGTCTTTTTAGCGGAAAGTCGTATATATCTGGTGACTTTCTCTTACAAGAACATGACGCTCGGTGTGAACACTCAGTGTAAACTAACTCACTAGTTCTAGATCGATAGTTTTTAAACATAATACAAATTTACACACTTTCAGAATTATTCTTTCAACTAACAAATTAGTCTATCCATAACCTAAATAATAGTAATGAAATTGATTGAAAGAGATATGATAATACTTGATAACGTAATATATAATTTATGGTTTTAGTTGCAATTAAGTTTTATAGTTGTCGACTTGTTTCACAGTAATAAAAATGGCGGTCGTAATGTATGAGTAGCTGACGTTTCCTTCGATACGCGCGTTAACGATTCTTCGGAACGGTCGTATTGACATATTGCTGTGGTGTATATATACGTGCGTGTGAGTGTTGTGCATGGTGTGAAGTAAATTTCGGGTGACAAAATGTGTTAGAAATTTTATAAATATGAGCGAAGGAGCGGATACGATAACGCAGATCTGCGAGAATTCGCTAACGACCTTGAAAGTTGAGGACAATCCTGAGGAACTTCCTCCAAGAACAATATCGTACAATACTAGGAGGCCACGGTTTGGTACGGGCAATGTTCCACTTTCGCCCTATATATTAATCGATGGAAAAAAATTGCGGAGTTCTCTGGCTTTCACCAAGAAATCGTCTCCACGACGTGTGAGTTTTCCAGCAAATGACAATCTCTTGGTTACGGGATATCTGGAGCCAGCCAATCCTTGGAAACTTGGTGAGAATGATACTTCAACTTACGTATAAGTTTTTCATTCGTTTCCTCAATATAAATTCCTTTTTATCAATTTACTTTTCCTTTTCATAAATGTAGTAATATTAAGGTCATGTGGTAGGAACCTGTAGAGTTTGTCGTCTGTAACAATCAACAAATATTAATAATTTAGGAATTGTTGCTAACATAAATTCACGTATGTATACATATACGTGTTTATGAATTTGTACGAATCAAAGTTATTACAGGTACTTTATCGATGTAAGGAAAATTATAACATTATCTATACGATGTAAATTTTTTTTCTTATGTATTTTGTAAATGCAAAAGAAGTCAGTGTTATTTATAACTTTTCTAAATGTTGAATTATCGATTGTAATAAAATAAATATGTAATTATATTGGAAATCTAGAGTTAATTATTATTATGCATGTTATCTTAAAGGTACCAAATAGCTAATAAGATGGGATATTTTAATAATGAGAATATTGTCATTAGGGATTCATGTTTTAATCATTGTATAATAAATAATGTTTACACAAATTGCAAAGGATTGTTTATTATAAAAAATGTTTCAATCTGTACAATTTGTTTTCCTAAAGTATATTGATACTTTGAAGGAAGCTAGTGCATAAAATGATTTACATGTATAAATTTACTTTCAACGATATACAATTAACATGATATACATAACACACAAGTTTTCTATTTTACAATATTATTATAGTTAACAAATATTTATTTGTATTTTAAGAAAAATGTCAATTGTAATATATAAAGTTCAATAAAACTGCATATATTATTATAGAATAGAATATTATTAAACAGTATTTGGCAAGAAGTGTGCGTTAATTTCTTAACCTTTCTTATGCAATGTTTAGTTCAATATTCTCTATTATGTATTTGAACTATGTTTATTACATCATACATCCATATATTTGAAACCTATTTTTTTTTTCAGTAGTTATCAGGTATATTTCCATAATAATAACAAAGTATATAAGAAAGTTAAACAAATAAAATATACAAATTAAAATTTTAACAGTAATTTCTTTATATATTATTTTGAAAGAGTTATTATTATGTACAAGTAGAATTGATTGATGTAACTTATCAATATTGTTTTTATACTTATTTATTTGCATAATGATAATGTATTACTAAGCTAGTAGGTTTTTTTATAGGTCATGTCAGTTGAAGAACATTTAAGATTTCACAATGTGAACCATGTACTAATTATAAGTTTGATGCAATATTAAAGCATGTGCAATATATAATTAACCTGTAAGTTACTCTTAAAGTGTGATACTCTTTAATTTTCATTTACAAAATAGGTATTTTAATGAAAGAACATATTCCAAACTATATTTTAAATAATAAACAATTTCTGAAATTTTCTGGCACATTATTAATTTTATTTAAGAATTACTTTTTCAGATACATTTAGTTATTTTAATATATTGCATGAGAATTAATCAACTTTTTCTAAAGTAAATTTATGATATATGTAAACATTTTAATGCTTTAGTAACTTTTATGAGATTTATGACTTCATTTATATTATTATATTAATACGTTCTCTGTGGAATTATAAAATACATATGTAAAAATTGGAAGCTCATTTTTATATAAAAAGATACTTAAATACTGAAAACTACTTGATTTTTAGTATGTGATTTACATTCGAGTTAAATTATATTTAATTCGTATTAAAGTAATGCAAGTAAATATTTGGTTACATTCTTAAGAGAAAAATGTGGAGTTGATTTTGTCTTGATCCTTTGCTTCCAGGGTCAAATTTATCAACTTGCTTTGTTGTGATAGTGAGGTGAACATTCAATGGAAATGTAGACACTAATTAATGATCAAGTCATTGCTACAAATGAAAAACTTGGTGAGTCACCAATGAATACCGCAGCGAACGTGTTAAGAAATACTACACTTATGAAATGCAAATATAAATTGAAATTCAAAATTAAGTCTTTAATACATACCAGTAATTATATTTTAAGTAACATACATACATATTCTACAATTTTTTTAAAGCATCTTCCTTCAATCATTTACTTCTTAATACTCTTGACTGTTTGTATGCTAACAATATATTGATTAATTTTTCACAGCCGAAAATGTGAATCATGAAGATTTAATCTCAGCATACAAGGCATCCTGTATAAAGCACAACACAGATCCTCTGGAAATTGTTATAAGTCAACTTGAGGTAAAATTATTTTTTTCTCTGATTATTATATTGAATTGTGATATAAATAAGGCAAACAATATGGAAGTATTTAATACTTTATAAAATAGTAAGAAGTAGTACAGTATTGTAATTTAAATAATTGTAGTTTTGTAAAGTACTGTAATATAATACACATAAAAAATGACATTGTATAAAACTGTACTTACTTCTGCTTACATTACATAAAGTATCTTTACTTCTTTTAATGACATCAAAATATATTTTAAATTTCTTAATAAAAATTCTAATTTTTTATTTGTGTTACTCTTGTTATAAGTGAAGTTATAATTTCATTTCATGAAGTATGTGTAAATAAATATACACTGGTTATTATTAATATGTTGATAGTCTTACAGTCCATGTACAGATTGTAAATCATAGACTTCTGAACGCTTGAACTGTAAATGTGTTAATCCCTTGTAGTAGAATAATGTCTTTGAGACATACTTTTCACGCATAGTTGGTCTTTTAAGATTAGGTCTGTTATTGTTACAAAGTATACCATAACTCCCATGAATTACCAAACAATATTTTGTATTCTCTATACCAGGCATGTCTAAATTGATGCCCATATGAGCTGTCTCTGAATTGCTAGAGCAGAGAGCTTTCCATGGACTGTTAAAATACACCTCTGTGAGCAAAGGTATCACGGTGGGCTACTCTATGACTGTGAGAGTATATGTGTGAGTAGCATACAGACTCTCATAGCTAAACTAAGGTTCAACTTGATTGCAGGTTTAAGAATATTGAGGGGTAAACTTACTATGTCTGTTTCCTGAAAGGGAGGAAGTACGGGAAGTACTGTCTTTTTCCCTGGTTTAGGCCCTGTCGCAACACTAAAAGAGTGGAAGCATAGTGATTTATCTCTCAATGTCCTTCAAAATTCAATCAAGGTGTATCTTACTATAGTATGATTGCAGGAGAAATCTATAAGTCCTAAGCAGCTATGAATTAAATATCAATACAAGAAATTAATAAATGATTTTTTGAAAAACAAATTTTCTTTATGGTAATTTTTGTCTATTTGAAATATACACTTCTTATAGAAATCTTTTCATTTGGCAAAGAGTAACAGAAATACTATACATGTGTAAGTTAATTAAAGTACTTTAGTAATGTACAAGGTGGTGACTTACTATTCTGGTCATTTAATTTTAAAACATTTCATTAAACTCTCTGTATTTTAAAAAGTCCTTATAATTCTTGGTATAAGCTTAAAAACTATAAACTTTCGCTTGTATAGTACGTATAAGATGCTTTTACTGAGGACTTAATTAGATGGCATGTGAGAGAGTACAGTGCATGAGAGTAGCAAATAGTACAAAGAGTGATTAAATAGGTATAGTTAAGAATTATGTAATTGAAAATAAAAGATTGCAAGAGTGAAGAATTAAATAAATGCTAGGTTATATAGGAAACGAAAAATTATTAGAGACGAAAAAATTGAGGTTAGGAAGGTTATAGGGCGTAAGATTATTAAAAACATAAATGTGTGGAGATTAAGGGAAGAATAACAAATGATGATAATATTAAAGAGTTATTAAATACATTATTATTAAATACAGTAGAATTATTGACAGCTAATCATTGATTTCCACATCTATTGGATATAATATTGGTCTGTAACGTCAATGATAATGCTAAGGTTGCTATTGTTGAAAAAAAAGCAATTTATGGCATGCCTCCGGCAGCTGAAATACTAGATTAAACAATACGGATTTTGCCATGTACATTAAAAACAGCATCAATACAGTACTCGGATTAAGAGAAAATTAATATTATTCTTATAGAAACATGAAAAACATAATATTTTCCTACACCAGGAACATTTATGCATCCAAGTTTGATGTAATTATATTTTTCATTAGTCTCGAGTCTGTCAAGTGTTTGCACAAGTGTAATTAACAATTGCAAGAAATAGATATAATAGACACTCTATTATCTGCGTTATGCTGCTTTGGTAACAAGTAATTTGAAAATGAGGAATCTACGTTGAAAATAGAATTTTCCTGCTAAAGCGATAAGACATACGTACAGTACAGAATTGTACTACTGTTTGTAATTAGTAGTTGACAAGTTTGCATTGCCAAACAATTATAAATATACTAAAAAGGTCAGAAATATACAGTGAATCCTTTCGAATTGCTGTGATTTTTAATCGTTCAATTGTTCCCCTAATAAAAACATAACCGATCGAGTCACGTGAAGGGAGATCAGAGGTGTAATGATACCTCCTGTAGTCGCCACTAGAGGGGACAATAACCGATTTCTTGTAGTGTCAAGTATCGTAATTCGCCACTAGAGGGATATGTTTCTCACAAGTATTAAATGCACCTGAATTTTTTATATATACAATCCTCAGCTACTGACATTTGGCCTGTTAGATATAGATGTTTATGTATTTTCCTAGCAACATAACTACGTCTGAACTCATGAATGAATTTCAATAAAATTTAACATTCTATACTTTCATTACAATGTCTGATTAAATTTTTGGCAAAATTACTCCACGGATAACGACGGTTGCGTCTGTGGTTTTTTATTATTATTATTATTATTTTTTCGATGGTTCGATGGTAAAATTGAATGAAAAATTTAGATATTATATTAATTATAACTAAGAACATTACATTAACATTTTTTTTAAAAATAAGAAATTTGGAAAATAATTTTATATATTAATTGAATGTAATTATTTAATTACTATCTTATTGCAAGATTTGCAATTTTCAACAATTTATTGTACCGCTTATTCAGAATGTTTCTCACCTTTCAAGTGAGGTGCTTCTCTATTTTATAGCAATGCTAAGTAGAAAAATTGACATTGCTCATTCGCTCATGTTCATAAATGCAAACACGTAGAAATAATGTGGATAATAATAAAAATAACGGAATAATGTGGCGAGGAAACCGTGTAGTTTAACTTAGGCGTTATGTAACGAGAAACGATAGTCCTTTTCAATTAAAGATCACGACCTAAAAGTGGGTTGCAAATTATTTTTTGTGGAGGAAATCTTTAAAAGACATACCTAATCTTTTGAGACAAGACTGGCGATACCATGAGATTCCCTGCACCACTCATACTGCACAGAATTTACCCACTAAACCTCCCATGATCCCCATCCACGTACACATTGGGAAGTGGGAGCCCTTAAAATGTTAACATCATCCATTACCCCACATCTGCACCAATGTGCATTTCCAGGTGGAAGGGACTGGTTTATTAAATCTATCGTTTGGGGTTTCGTGGGAGAAATCTTCTAAAGATGCCTCCCACCTTTTGGCGAAGGCCGGGGATTCTCTATACCGCTAACTTAACAAAACACCTTCAATTAGTTAATAAACCTCAGGGGTAGTTCACTTAGGCCTTTTATCATGCCAAATTTTGTCAAAGCCTGCAGTATTTGAAGCTTACAATGTAACAAAATAAAAATCTCGAGAATTGATGACGTTAATGTGGTAGCACTGTAAATAATAATAATAACTTAGTGCTGCTTGAGAATATATATTTAGATTATAGTAAAAAAATAACTTTAGAATTCTAGAAACAGTTACTTTTATACTTTTACGATGGTATTGAACAGTCCCGCAGGCTGATAAAATTGAATCCTATCTAAAAGCATTGAGTGAACATCCCCTGTTTCCTTAGGCAGTATGCAGTGACAGCTGCAAATTCTAAACTGCAGTTGTCTACAGCCCATTGCGACTTTGCAGCGACGGAGAAGAAATGTGCCCTTCCGTCGCCGCCGCTGGGGGCAATAGGGGAGGGGGGGGGGGGGCATAAGGCCCCAACTTCCGCTATCTTGAACAGTCTTACAGATAAAAGGCAAAATTGTATGTCATCTATTGATGCGATTTTAAATTTTTACTCAAGAAAATGATTGAAAATGTAAATTAAATTTAAATCTGTTATAACTCATATTGTATATCTTAATAAATAAAAAAATAAACTGATGCTTTTTCAAGTAATATAAGTAGTATCATTTTTTCATTTGTTCACATTTTCATATAACATTTAAAGATGTGTAGTGAAGAACTGCCCACTTTGCAATTTGTGTCACGCTTTGAAAAGATTGAGAAGCACAGGCATATGCAATTTATTGTTAGTATGCCTTTTGCAGCTAAAGATCTAATCCTATGAATGTGAAGAATTTAAATACTTACTGAGGTATGTGATTGCATTCCTTTGGTTTTAATTGATGCATAAATTCTTAACATCAAGTATGAATAAATTATCATTCATAATAAATCCAGATGTTTATTGAGGAATGCAATTGCATTTCTTTGCACTTAATTGATTAATGAAATCTTAACATTAATTGTAGATGAATTAACAATTATAGTAAATATAAATTGTTTAAACAGACTTTAGATATATCCAAAAAGAATAGTGAATTACTTAATTTAAAAGGACAGTTATTGGATTCTGATCACTGTGAACCATTGGAGGAAATTTTTAAGAGAATCCAATTTAATAAAGTTGATTTAGAAGCAACGTCATTGGATGATGAGGTATTTTTCATTTTTCGACTTTGGAGTTAGTTCTTTTTAAATGTTATTTATCGTTTATTGTATTTATAATTACAGAGTTCTGTGATATTATTTGATATGCTAGAATATTATGAGTCTGCAAAACACTTAAATATTTCATCTAATCCAGGCATTGGCATTCAGGGATGGCATGCATGTGCAAATTTGATAAGGAAGGTATACACTATAAATACTCTTTTTAATAATAAAATTTTTACATTATTATTATTGGAAATAATATGTAGTTGTACGACTGACTGTTTTACATTAGATGACTGTGAAGAACATAAATATTGGCAATAAATATGAGTATTTAAACTTTATTTCATTCTTCTCAGTATATAATTAATACAATCATTATTTGTCTAGACTCGATGTTTAAAACATCTTGAAGCTAAGGATGTAACACTTAATGAACAAGACATGAATATCTTGAGTCGTGCATTACGAGTAGTCTGCCATCTACATGTGCTAAACTTAGAAAATTGTGGACTTTCAGGAAGATCAATCGTCACACTAGGTAATTATTGCGTGATACAGTTTGTTAGTGTTATAACTTCATTTTAGGATGATAATAAAACATTACCACTTGCAATCACTACTTTGCTTAAATTTCTATATGAATTGTTAATTGATGTCCACAAATTATTAGATGCATTATATGTATAAGATATATAGGATTACTAGACATTGCAAGAACAGATTTAATTTATTATATTTGTGTTATAGAATGTTACAAAAATAGTGTGTTGTTATGAAGAAATCTTTCAATAGAGTATCTATTTCAAATAACATATCTCTTTTATCAGTTTCAGCATTAAAAGTGAACACTGGGATTAAGGAACTGTATTTAGCAGACAATGGACTTAATTTCTATGATGCAATACAACTTGGTTCTCTCCTTAGATTTAATAACCACATACAACTGCTTGATATTAGGTATGTACCATTGCAAAAAGATGAGTTTTAAAAGAAGAATAACTTAATGAACATTTATTGATTATCTTGAGTTATTCCATAAGATTTTACACTATGGATTATGTTTTACTGTTATACTTGTTTTTTTTGTTTGTAGTAACAATAACATTCAAGATGATGGTGTACGCGATATCTTAGAAGGTCTTATTAATCAAATAAATGAAGACAAGGATGGTAAAGGCTTAAATGTATTAATATTATGGAATAATCAACTTACCCAAAAATCATCTCCCTCTTTTTCACGCATTATAGTATGTAATTTTATTAATCTTTATAATTACACATGCATGGATTATGTATTGGATATATTCATGTTATTTATATATGTAGGCATTATCAAAAACATTAGAAACATTGAATATTGGAAAAAACACGCTGACTGATGAATTGTTGTTCACCATAAAAGATGCATTGAAGAAAAACCGTATTTTGTTACAATTAGGAATACAATCGACTGAACTTACGTGCGATGGAATTGTTACATTATCTGAAATTATTGAAATAAATGAGGTTTTGCAAGTAAATATTAGAAATTTTACAGTATTGTGCAGCAAAATGAGAACTTGCTTTGCATTATATGTGTACCTTTTCTATTATTGTAGAGGATAGACTTACGAAATAATGACATACAAATGACTGGAATGAGAGCTCTCAGTTCTGCTATGAAAAAGAATAAAAGTATCACTAAAATAGATTTGGATGATAAGCCTAAAATGAAAGTAGTAAGTAAATAATTTGTACCGTGTTGTATGAAAGGTTTTAACACTAAAAGATTTACATAACATTGCTTGTTTCTTTTATGTTAATAACAGGATGACCTAGCCCAGACCTTGCATCAGTATACGCAGCTTGTAGCTGAGATTCAAGTTTGTTGTTCGGAAAACGAGCAGAGTCGTATTACAGAAGAAAATAGCGAAGGTTCTGAAAGTTCACGTCATAGCATTCTCTGTAGCACAAACTCTCGTAAAATCTCGCTTACTTGTCAAACACTACCATGTTCTTTACCAACCATGATTTCAATACAAAATAACGCACCAGGGCAAACGATGCTCGAACCGAAACGTATCAATGGAGGTCGTCTACGTTCCCCCGCCCTTAGTCCAGCCTCTTCACCTATAGCAAGCCCGATACCAAGTCCTTCTCGAAGTCGATTTGTGGTGTCCCGAGTTCCAGAAACATCATTATGTTCTGCAAATCCCTCAACATCTTCGTCACCAGTTACTCTCCCCTTTGAATCACCTACCTATCTCGCTTCTTCTGCAAGTGGGTCATCTAGATTTCGTGTTTCAGTTGTTGAATCAGCAAGTACCAAACCTTTACATAAACCTACTGTTACTTCATCCGAGGATGATGTTACGTTTGGTTTAAATCTAAAAATTAATACTGCAGAGCCGACAGACTCAGATGACACTATTAGTGTATTCAAATCCAACTTAGAAACGAATAATGCTCAAAGTACTGAAAATTTGCATAGCACATTGAGCAAAGTATCTTATTTAGTTTCAAACGAGGTAGAAGAAAGGTGCGCATTACCGGCGAATGAATCTGCTAGCATAAAGAAATTAAGTACAGATATACATTCTTCTAAGGCTACTACTAAAACTCAACTACATGACAGTATAAAATCTGTTCCTTCGAAAAGCAAAGAATTTTGCGATGTACAGTACAATCAGATTAATATTCCAACTCGACTAGAAAGCGTAACGTCAAGACATGTACAAAATGCAGAAAGTAATTATAATGAAGGTATACAAGACATAAAAGCAGCTGCAAATGTTAATAAAGATGAGAAAAGTTCTAGTTGTATTATAGTAAATGATAAATCGGTAATTACTAACAAAAAACATGATGTGACAAAAAATGTAACAAGTACTTTTTTAAATGAACGGCCAGAAATCCAACCACAAATAAACCAAAAATCTTGTATACAGAGACATACTCCTAATTTAGAGAAATTGCTTTCGCTATTTCAACATCCTAGTTGTTTTTTCCCCATTAGCCAATTGAAATCTAGGAGTACATTTCAAGATAGTCTAAACAGTTTGATGGCACGTGGAAATAAATTCCATTGTTACTTAAATGAGAGCAAAGATAGAATTCGTGATCACGACACAGAAATCTCTTCAGTATCGCAAAAAACAAAGTCAACAAAGTCTTTCAATATTTCTGAAATGTTAAGTTTAAAAAGTTTAACTAACATGTTCCCGTCATTTAAATTTGAAGATGATTTAAATGTTTCTAAACAAGATAGTAAATCTTATTCAAAAACAGTTACAGAAGTGAATCTTTTACTTAGAAAAGAACGTGGAAACACTTTAACTGATGTACAAAAAGAGTATGATAATTATAACAATGACAATAAACAATTCAACTTTTGTATAAAAGGGCTGGAAATTAATATTTCCACTTTGGGTAATCGATTATTACCCGAAGAAATACAATCAAAAAGCTATGTTGAGCTTATTAACAGAAATTTACTGCTATCTGCAAATTATATTATTTCAAATATAGCAGTTGATAACTGTTTAACAATTCTAAACAATAGTTTATTAACACGTATTTCAGAGAACAAGATGATTGTACCTTTATCTAAATTTCTAAATGTACATGAATACTCTCTTTTAAAAACAACTATTAATGACGTAAAAATCGAAAATATAGAAGCAGTACTAAAGAAAATAGATTCCGTACTGGTGAAAAAAACGTGTGATAAAAGTTCAACGGACAGTATTAATTTTACTAGTGATAGTAACTCCTTGTTTTGTAACATAATGTATGATATAACGAATATAAATGATATGTACACTGTAAATACGTCTGACAACATGCACAATTTAGTAATATTAAACTTAAACGCGAAAGGTGATGTCAAAAATAATTCTGTTTTTAAGATAGAAAATAAGCAAAGTAATTTGGCATATTTCATATGCAATGAGCGCGACTGTAATATAAATAATAAATCACTTGCATATTGCAGTGCGTTGAAGATAAATATAAAAACAAATTGTGTAAATAATAAAGTTACCAAAATGCATAGTATTTATAATAATTATAATTATAAGAAAGCTTTTGCAACTGTTCACAACATGCCGAGCAATGAAGTAGAAAGAGTAGATATTTGCCATGGGAATAATAGCGTGGATTGGCAAAATACTATTGTAAATTGTAAACCGGCAGCAGGATTATCAAAGAAGAATTTTATGTACGAAGACATTAACATTGACTTTGACGATAATACTACAGATTTATGTACTTCAGTTATTTATAAAGATGTTACAAATCCATCAAGAATACAGGAAGTATTAAAAACATTTAATGCAAAGGACAACAAATATTTTGAGCCAAGTAATGTAAAAGAAACGAGAGCCGATGACTTACTAATGGAAAATGCTATGGGCGGAAGATTTGGAAGAATAAGTATCATGTCTATACCGAGAGCGTATTGTTATGTGACAGACTTCAATAAGTCTATTCCTAGAGATCTTATATTTTATATGGCTGACCAAGCTGATAGCAGCTATCCAAACAGCGCTATTAAAATAAAGACCTCGATTCATGACTTACCTCTGGTATCTGATTCACGTATGAATTCTGTAATTAAAAGACCGCAAAATATTCATAGAAAGAGCGAAATTTCTAAGATTCGGGGAAGAAATTTTTCTGTGAATCATAATGTGCAGAAAAGCACGCAGTTTCATATGAAACAGAAATTACAAGAGAATGATGATTCTGAAACTGATTCCGAATGTCCCTCAAAATGTTCAAAAGTTTATACTATCGCTCATTCAAAAAGAAGTGTGAGTCCTATAAAGAAAAGTTACGATACACGTGGTAATCCTTTAGAAAATATATATATGTTCACGAAGTTTGGATCAAATATTGTTCAACGTGTAAAATTTACAAATCCAGATGCGATAAGTGATATGACGCAGAAATATCTTAATACAATTAAATGTGCAGTTACCACGACTATGTGTTCAAAAGTTGCAGTGAACACTAGAAATAATGTGACAGTCGAAATGATTTCTGACGAGAGCACTAATGTTGCTGAACCTTCGACAGTAATTCATGCGACAAGGTGAGTAAATTACATTATGAGGATTGACGAAAGTCACAAATTTGTATTTTCTTAGAGATATTTTGAAAGGAGAGAGGATATCTGTGCCCACGCTTTTGTATTTCAATGTACATCATTTCGTTCTTTTAAATATTCGATTCAGACATCAAGTATTGAGGAGTAATGCGAAAGATCTATTATGATATTGCTCTTTTACCTAAGATTTTGTCAAAATTGACGAAATTATTTTTATGCTATAAATATGAAACTTGATATAATATAATATTAGGAATAGATATTAAAAGTTTTCTGTATCGAATTATACAAATGTGTTCCACTGAACATTTTATATATTTAAAAGTCGTTCAGTTTTGAAATTTTTAATTGACAATGCAATGTTATTTTACTACTTTACAACGCAATTGTAAATTCAATACAATTTTTTTTATTCTAAATTAAATATGAATCGGAACGTACTACGTTTTTATAAGATACATATTTTTGTGATTTTATCATTTCTTTTATTAAGATAACACAAATTGTAATATGATCATATAACAAAAATTATTTAAAAATCACTAATTAAATGTAGATATATATAATTCTATTTCTTCATGCATACATATATATATATATATATCTTGTATATCTTATTAATATATATATATATGTTATTGTATAAAAAATTATTCTATCTGTAAAACGCTGTATAATTGTTAAATATCTATTCCATGTTTTATTCGTCACACACTATACATTATAAACTAAGAATTGTTAAAGATTAAATTATAAATAAAAATGTACAAATTGATCCATTGTACGATTATGTGATTTTATAAAATAATACAATATATTCTTTTGTAAAAATAATTTGCATCTATCAACGACAAGTATAATTATGTACTATAATAAATCGAAGTTCGTCTATATAACTTTATAGGAAACTTAAATATTATTTTTAAACAATATTTCTAGCTATGCTGATTTCAACATTATCTCATGCCTCGCTTGCAAATATTTTAATTACTTTTGTTTAACTAATGAAGAAATCATATTAATTCTCCTTAAATACCTTAAATTTTCATCACTCTATTATAGATTTCCTTTGCTAATATGAAACTGTAACACTCTTTGTCCATATAATATTATATTTCTTTAACATTTAACATAGAAAAAATAATATATTTTCTAGTTAGAAATTGATAATGTATTTATTTAGAAAAAAGACAATGTATATTTATTTTATTTATTGATTTATTCAGAGATAAATTCTGATACAAATGTTTCATATATATTCGAATTACATTATGTTTTTCTTGCCCCAGTTTTCTATTTACATAAATTTGTGATAAGTATGTTTGTGTACAAGTACAGTAAAATAATGTATTCTTATTTGTATTGAGAAAGCGCGTTATTTTTACTCCCAATTTCTTAATACAAAATGTAATGAAGTTTTTTATTTATATTTTCTTCGTATCATCTTTTGAGAAATGATTCTATCGTCGTAAAAAAAATTTGAAAATGTTCATGTTTAGCATCATTTTTATTGTAAGAGTAAAAATATTAAAGGTATGCAATCATGCAGTACAAAATGATTGATGTGGTTTTTATAGCACAAAGTGACAAAGAAATGGGAACGGAGAATGAGGTAAATGAAAATGAAGATATGGAAATAGAAGGAAAGAAATACACCGAAGAATATAACAATTTATACGATTTTGATGACGATATGATTGATGAAATCGATGAACTCGAGGAATTGAAGATGGATCTTGAACCAGAATATCAGCGGTATGCTAAATGGCGGATTTAAAAGTACATTTTACTCGACAATTTTTACTAGGTGGTATTTATGTAAAATAAAAAGACAATTCAAACCATGGAATTGATCCATGGAATTTGTTTAATTAATGAACAAAATATAGGTAAATTTTAGGAGTTTTGTTTTATATTTGTTGACAGTGTGGTGTATTTATTTTTATGACCATAAAAATCTCCATTGTTTTTGATGATGGAAATATTGTAGGAAGTCATTTGGTTCAAGGGAACAATATTTTTTGTAATAAAATGAATTTTGTCTTAAAGTCATGATTTAAAAAATTTTAAAGTCATTTAGATTATTTTTCAATGGCATCCATTTTTCTGTCAATACGAATAGGAAGAGCATCAACCATATTATATGTTGTATGTTTATATTGATAAATTTTATGATAAGTAATGTTTGAAGATTTATCTTAGCAACCAAGAAAGGTAGAAAAAAAAAGTACAACATATGTTCTTATATATGTCTATGTATATTAGCGAAAAATTTAGTAATTAATTGATTCTAGTCTACAAAATAATTGATCTATCAACCATACTGTGAACTAAAAATTGTCACACTAAAAACCTTGTGAATTTGTTCGTTTGTCACCTCATAGATATTTAAAATTTTTAAATATAATTCAAAATCGTAACCATTTAAGTCGATTTTATTGGTTAGTTTAACTTTCAGAATAATTTATAAACATGAAAAATGTGCATAATTTAAAGACAAATGTTTGCAATTAACATGTATATATATGTATATATCTACATATACATATATATGTCTGTATATGCAGCTAAATATATAAGTTAAAATATTTGTATTAAGCACACATTTAAAAAAGTGTCGCTTTTGAAAAAGATTTAAATCTATTTATTAATAATGATAAAGATATTATTAAAGCTGTTATTTTTAACATCAGATTGTTATTTATTAATTGCAATCAATTTTTAAATTGACATAATATATTTTTATTACATGTATACAGTAATATACAGCAAGGAGTGTTTTAACTTAATTGTAAATTATTACTTTTAGAGTTGGGTATTTGCTACTCAAACCTATATCCTTGTTATATTGCGCATTCGAAAAATTTCTTTACTATGAATGTCATGTTATAGAAAGTAAAATGATTGTTAAGAGAAAAAGAATGAAACTGATATATTGGAACGTGATTGAACTCAATTTACATTTTTTATATACGCTCTCACGATATTACATAACTAATGTAATTCTGTTTCTCTTTCAACAGTACAATTATTTATCAATCTATTAGTCAAATGTATATGTTAGAAATACTATTAATGATCAGCGATTCATAAAATATTGTTTTCCGCGAAAATTGTGTTTTATACGCATTGGTAATCTTAAAATTAAGTGTTATCAAATAGTAATCGAGACGTTGAAATGTAACTTATATGGAATCGCAAAGTATTATTTTGTAATAGCAATAATTATATAGATGTAAAAATAATTAATGAATTTTTAATTCTTAATTCTATCTCATGTTGTAATATTTGTGAAATTTATAAACGATAGAAAACGGTTCAAAAGTTTTTAAGTGTAGTTGTGTCCATCTGCGTGTATACTTTTCCGAGAATTGTGATATTCTTGAAGAATTTGTAAATTTGAATGTTATTATTAATTTATGAACGCTATAAATTGGCTACTGTAATTAGTTTGTATATATGTATGACTGCGCACGCGCGACTTGTAGATAACGTTTACATACAGCTATAAGATATATGTGAAGATATACATTCTGAAATTAAATCTGTACAACTTGTATATTAAAAAGGAATTGAATTTATTAAGAATTTTATCGAGTCAGGGGATAAAAGAATAAAAATGGTTTAATTATACGTTTTGTACTTCATTAATACATACAAAATATTTGAAACAAATTACGATAATATTACCAAGTAATCAAATTGAAAAATTTCATACACGTAGAAAAAGAATTTAGTTTTTCTACTTATAAATATTTGATGTACGTAGGTAGATAATTTGTTCGCTGAAAAGATGTAAACATCGTAAACGTAAACGTAAACCAATGGTCACGTCATCAAAATCCTATTGGTCTGTTGAGTCAGCATGTCATATGTTATTCTCGCCAGGCATGTATCAATTTGTGTAGGAAGGGGTACCCTTGAGATTATGGCAAAGTATTATCATGTGCAGAATGCAAGCTGAAATACGCAGGATTGAAATACAAAAATTCATCAGACACGATTAAAGCTCCAATGGAAAGCTTTTATTAAAAAATTGTTACAACTATTAGAGACTTCAAAGGAATTAACAATATCTGATGGCATTTCTCGTTATTTTTTTATGTGCTATCTTTTGTTTTCTTTTGTTAATATAAAATTGTAAAATGATTTATTATTCTTTATATATATAAATTATATTATGTTTGTATTTATTTGGGGCAGAACTCCACTGTTGTGTCGGCCCTGTCGCAGTCACGTGATTTTGTTTATCTCGTTTCCATCTTTACAGTGAACAGAGTGTAGAAGATACGATTTGTAACTAATGCAATAATGAAAATATAACAAAATTCATAAGAGGAAAATCGTTTGTATTATAGATACATTTCAAAATTATTTTTTGCTATTGTCTATGTTGTTTTTAAAGAATACGTTGTAAAACAACATTTCACTATAGCTTAATAATTACGTCGCTAGATGGGTGTCTATTCCTGCTACGTGTGTCTTTATGTAGACGTTTGACCATCTGTTTCTATAATCAATCCTTCAAACTGAGCATTTCGATTGGAGAATCACGATCATCCATTCTTACTATTCCCGTATCGAAAATTTTCCAAGTTGACATTGAATGGCGACTGAACAAAGTAATTTGTTTGATCTTACTAATGCAACGTTTAGTAAGAAAAATGACAATGTATGTGCAATCTACGTAATCTAAAGAGAAAACTAATTGTATGTGGTGCATAATTATGTGACTGAATGTGAAAAATTGCAGCATAAAAAAATGTTCCACCACGAATATGAGAAGCGGCTGTTGAAGTCGAGCAACGAGAGCCATACGAATAATCTGGCAGGTCCCGGATTACATTCATCAGCATATTTCTCGCCGACTAAAATGATGAATAATAGTTTCGATCGATTTATACCAACAAGATCCGGTAATAATTGGCAAACAACTTTTTCAATGATATCTGAAAACAATCGAAACGGCATGGTTACAAAAAAAGCTCGCGAAAATGGAGAAGGTAGCCGTGACGGTATTGCTTATTCATGCCTTCTGAAGAATGAACTGCTCGGAGCAAGCATAGAAGATGTAAAAGGACAGTGTGAAGAGCGAAGAGTACTATCACCATTGGTTACCAAGAATCTCTTCAAGTATACAACACCTACGAAAGATCATACACTACTTGATCAAAGTTCACCATATTCTTTGTCACCGTTGAGTGCCAAAAGTCAAAAAATTCTAAGGTCACCAAGGAAAGCAACAAGAAAGATTTCAAGAATACCGTTCAAAGTACTCGATGCACCAGAATTACAGGATGACTTTTATTTAAATCTTGTCGATTGGTCTTCACAAAATGTTCTTAGTGTTGGGTTGGGTAGCTGTGTCTACTTATGGTCTGCTTGCACCAGCCAAGTGACCAGACTATGTGATTTATCCAGTGATGGCAACAGTGTAACATCAGTTGCTTGGAATGAAAGAGGAAACTTAGTTGCAGTCGGGACACATCTAGGCTATATTCAAGTGTGGGATGTAGCTGTGAGTAAACAAGTAAGCAAGCTACAAGGACATAGCGCGAGAGTTGGAGCATTAGCTTGGAATGGGGAAGTTTTATCATCTGGTAGCAGAGATAGGTTAATATTGCAAAGAGATGTTAGAACTCCTTGTGTTGTCAGTGAAAGACGTTTAGGAGCTCATAGACAGGAAGTTTGTGGACTTAAATGGTCTCCAGATAATCAATATTTAGCTTCTGGTGGTAATGACAATCGTCTTTATGTGTGGAACTTACATTCCCTTTCACCGATACAAACTTATACAGAACATTTGGCAGCTGTTAAAGCTATTGCATGGTCTCCGCATCACCATGGTCTTTTGGCCTCTGGTGGTGGTACAGCAGATAGATGTATCAGATTTTGGAACACATTGACTGGTCAACCAATGCAATGCGTTGACACCGGTTCCCAAGTTTGTAATTTAGCATGGAGTAAGCATAGTTCAGAACTAGTCAGTACACATGGCTATTCTCAAAATCAAATTTTGGTTTGGAAGTATCCAAGTTTAACACAAGTTGCGAAATTAACAGGACATTCTTATAGGGTTTTATATTTAGCCATGTCACCAGATGGTGAAGCTATTGTAACTGGTGCTGGTGATGAAACTTTGCGTTTTTGGAATGTGTTCAGTAAAACACACAGTCAAAAAGAAAATAAGTCTGTACTGAATCTCTTTACTAGTATTCGATAGATTCATATAAAAAAAAATAATTAATTTCATGTATAATATATACATACACACACGCGTGCGCGCATGTGTGCAAACACAAAATTGCACGAATATAGTATTCTAAAAAATTATAATGTGTACAACATAGCTATAATAATTTACAAATAAGAATAGATTGTTGACACATGTAGATTAAGTTTATACATGCACAGCTTACAATTAATGGAATCTTATGTGCAATAAGTTACTACTTGTAGAAATCAAATATGCCCTTATAAGGAAATCTAAAGGCAATGTCATTTTTATATATTTTTTATATAAATATTTTTATATACAATGCATTAAAATTTCTTAAATAATTATAAAACTTAATAGAGTGTCTGATCAATGCAGTATCTATTTCTTATATGAAACATATATCTTTTTATATTTTATTTTATTTTTTTTAATATATCATATTATTTCAATTATAAAATTTACTGATTTCACATTTGTATTTTCTTTATTGCAACAAAATTTAAAATATATTGCATATTCAATAGATTACTTTAACATACTATTTATCACAACATTTCATTCAAAGAAAAGTCTAAGATTACATAAAATTTCAAAAAAATATATTGGCATTACATATTAATGTTATTTTGATGTGCAAAACACAATGCTGCATATAGGCTGCTTTGGAGTATCTTTCACTCTGTCTCCAATCACTATATTCATCTAGCTAATGCTATTTATGTATGTAGGTGCCATATAAAAATACAATACAGTGTATTCTGATGTGCAAAGCCACATAAAAGGATTCACTCATAGATGTCACTAATATGATTCCTTTCAAGGGCGTATTATTATATTTCTGTAAGACTTGGAAACATTTAGTCCTTAACCATTTGTAGGTTCATTAAATTTTGAAATGATTATACAAATCCACAAAGACTACTTCTTTAAGTCTTGCAATCTTATTAAAATTAATCATATATATCATGTATATGAAAAAAAGGTTGCTTACAAATCGAAATACTTTCTTATTAATGATTTGTTACTTAATATTTTGCAATAAGCAAAATGTACAAACAACTTGAAATATGACATAAAATAAATTCACTTATTTATATAGAAACAAAAATAATATATTGAAATATTTACCTATATGTTTTAAAAGAAATTTAAAAACATTTAATTAAAATACTATAAAGATTCTAGTGAGTTAGAATCTAAAATTTATATTGTATAATTTTCAAAGATATGTATAATCTATTTTCCAAAACTTTAAGAGATAGTTTGAAACATATGTAGAAGAAATAAATATATCCTGTAATTAGACAGTGAGTTTTTATAAGCGAGTTATGCTACATGATATAATTATGTATTATATTTCATATAATAGTATATACGAAATTAATGCACGTAATATGAGCAATTCTAAATACTATTAATACCTTCTTTTTAGATGTTACTATGACAGATTTACATTTTAATGTCATAATAATATTGAAATAGAAGATATGAATAGTTATAACTAATATTCTATAGAAAATCACTGTAGAAGTAAAAAGTTTAGCTAAAGTCTATGTTTGGACTAATTGCACTTAGTTTGTAGAACTAAGTTTAATATATATTATAAAGTGCACCATTGTACATTTCTATGTTGCATCTGTTACACTTTTAGGTATATTTTAACAATATCTATGGTATTTGATTAATATTGATCATTGTGAACATATTAAAATTCTACATTTATGATTTTCATAGAATGCAATATGTTAAAGTATATCTCTGAAGTTTTGAAAAGTACTATTATTGTACTAATATTTAAAAAATGCACAATATCAATAAGACTGCTTTGTTATATTGATACACACTAATAATTCTGAATTATAAAAGATATGAGTCATTTTTGTTATAGTAATGTAGAGCCAAATTTTTGTATTTCATAGTATTTAAGAATTACATTTCACCATAGAAAAAATATTGATAAAAGTTTATATGCTCGTTTTAATTGTTTTTAAATTTGCATATATTACTCTCAAAAAAATTAATCCATAGACAGACTATAAAGCACAGAAAAAATTGTTTACGTGCCATTTGGTTTTAAATGTAAAATAAAAAAAAATTTAATATTGATATTGAATGCAATATAAAAATTTGGATTATTCTTTTGTTTCTTTTATATGAATTTAAATTTCTAAAAGAAAGTGGCTCAACAAAATCTTTATAAGTATTCATATGTGTATGTGTATATATATGTATTGTATATGAAAGTAACTATATATGTATATACATACATATATAGAAAATATATATCGGTGTATACAAATAAATATTTTATTATGCATACTAAAAAATATATAGAAGTAAAACCTTCCCAACAAATTCTTATTTCAAATTCGGAAATAAACGAATAACTTCATAATTTTGTTTATTTAAAATTTAATAAGAAATTGTTTTCATATTCACATTCATAATACATGTCCTTTCATTAGATTTGATTTTTCACAATAAAGTAACTAATTTTTTTCTAATTTATGTATTATTTATGTACAATTTATGAAATCAATTTTGTAATAAAATGACCTATGTGTAACTTTCGTGCATGTAGGTTCAAGTCATATATCTGTAACCTTAAGAGAAATCATATTAAGTACAAAGTTTGAAAATTTTGTTTAAATATGTTAAATCAATTAACAAATGTTAAATTTCTAATGTAAACTATTCTAATATTTAGAATTTCCAAAATTTAAACTTAAAATAGTGTGTTTAGATGGCTTTAAATCTAAGTTAGTAAGGCAATATTATAATGATAAATTAGATGTATGTGATCTGAAATAATGTAGCTTGAATTTTAAGGAGAAAGGGATTATTTTCTCAACTGTCTATTAACTAGCAAATTGTATAATAATAATATACTGAAATAATTATCACAAATGTACACTGTAAAACAAAAATGACTCATTGGCTCTCTCTAGGAGTTATTTTTCCTGCTGCTTATCTTACAATATAAATTGTAATATACTGAATTATTAAACTTGTGAAATGTTATTCATATATTTAGGCAATAACTCTTTATTAATTTAGGTGGAATAAATTCTGAGTAAAATGACGTTTTGGAGTATATGGAATTATGTATAGCTATGAAGAATATAATATAATATTCAAACTGATGTAGTTGCAATTTAAAGCTCTGAAATGTAAGTAAAAATATATTTTATAAGAAGTAAATATATCTAATATAGTTGATAGTGCTTTTGATTTATCAAACAATAATTTTATATTCCAATCTTTGTAATATACACTGCCCCAGAGGAATAAGCAGTACCGTAATTATTAAAAATTATAGTTTATTATTCATAACATTCATTGCACTCATATTTTGCTAAATATAAAAACAAGAATACTAGTTAGTGGCAGCGACCGAAATAATTAATCATATATATTCACATTTTTTTAATTTTTTCAGCATACTCATATAATTTGACATAATAATTCAATTACTAATTGTTGATTTCTACGCTAATAATTGATGATATTAAGTTTTTTAAATAAATAAAAATACCGAAAACTGTAGCGCTATCTCTTGACGAACCTCTCAAGTTTGTGGTGAAATAGTTTCCGCCCAGCGTCGCTAAATGTCGCCACAAACATGAAAATATTCAAAACATAAATTCTCTGCATATAAATGTAATTTTATATTTTAACTACCATAATTTAACTACTCATTGTCGATTAGTACACTAATAATTGTCTAATGCCTAGTTTTTTTAATAAATAAAAAAAATACAGGAAAATGTGGCGTCATTTAGTGGTGGAAAGTGGGAACTATTTCACCACAAACTTGGGTGGTTTGCTGAGAGGTGGCGCTACATTTTTCGGTATTTTTATTTATTTAAAAGAACTTGATATCAGTACATATCAATAATTAGATGTTGAATTATGATGGAAAATTACATTATTTAAATTAATTACATTATACTGCTTCGTTAGCATAATCTTTTGATATGGTCGAATACAAAAAAAAATGGTCGAAGGAGTACCCATTTCAACCCTCTCTCTTTTCAGTCTGCTACAGAACATACATATAACTGCATATAACATTTTAGCATCGTGAACTATCATTATCATTTTGCCGTACGCTCTCCGACAGTTTCTGCCAGTTTCTGCTATACATCACTGATACATCACCTGATCACCATCAGCTTTATCGTATATGCGACCAGTCAATAGTACGACTCTTATTATACCTACCGTTTATATTGTAATGCTTAGGCTAAATAACGTCTCCGTCTAGCAGGTTAGTTCTATAAGGTACTTAGATAAGTCTGTATTATTAAATATGTTCCCATTCTATAAACCCGTTGTTCAATTTTGCAAACATGGGCGTGCCGATCGAATTAACGGATTGATCGTCAAATTAATAACTTTCCGTGATTGAATGATAATTATAAAATATCATAGAACATGTTTTTTAAATAGATTTCATTCATATAGCAACTTTAAACAATACAGATAAATTTTAATGGTATTATAATATAATAATAAACATTATTTAACAGAAATAATTAAAACGAGACGCTTTTCTTCCTTTTTAAGAATTTCCTCTTCAATGGTAGATAAGCAAGCGTATTTAACGGATCCTCAATCGTAGCCGCTTCTATTAATGAGTTAGTTCTGTCTTGTCTTGATTTTGAGGGCTGTGGCATGTGCAACTCAATTTCATAATTTGGGACCTTAATAAATTTCATAGTTTTCGGCACTTTTTTCTCTGGAATGACTTCCATATTAGATCCCTTCGTTAATGGCGCATCGTCGTTATTATCTGTATTGTCGAATTTCGTTGCATGCCGTTGAAAAGCAAAATCAGCTGCTTCTAATGTGGTTTTAGCTTTCTCAATTTCGGCATTCAAATCGATCACGTCGAAAATACGATCCTGGAAAAAAGTTTGTAATGGATAGATAATGCGAATACAAACTTGAGATCTGTATGTAATTTCTAAATATTTGAATTTCCAAATCAATTGTCTCGATTAAGTATCCGCGAATTACACTATTATTTACTACGTTTCGTGATGGACTCTACAACCTTCGAAATATTTCAAGCGACGGACAATAATATAAATTCGTATCAATATTTTTAAAAGATGAAAGCTTCATTACTTTCATCTCTGTGTGTACAATATGTTAATACGTTGGGCATGCTTTGAATTTAAGTGCAACCTGCATGTCCCTCCTTTTGCGTCTCAAATCAGCCAAGTCTTCGGCAAAAGCAGCGGCAGAACGTTCTTTGTAACGTCGATGAGTAAGAACAAAGTCATCTTCAAAATTGTCATCAATTCCTCGATCATACATATAATCCAAACCATCAAGGAAATCGTTACGATTTCCCGCAAAATCACGACTACCTAAAAAGATCAGACGTAACTGTCAATTTTGTAAGATGGGCTACGTAGATTTATGTTTTTGCACATTTTTTACTTGCATAGCAGAATTTTATCATTCTTAGGCGCGTATTATACAGAGAATATACATATGTAGTATACACATACATGTATATATTACAAACAGGGCCGGCGTGATCTTTTGCGGGGCCGGGTTCAAAAATGTTGCGGGGCCTGAATTCACATTCAAATCCTGCACTTAAATTTTACAACACAGAATTATTTATTTACAAATGCTGTTACATATCTTTTATAAGATGAATATTAAATAATAATAATTTGATGATTTTTGTCACTCCTTTAAACTGAATCAACATTTTCGTAGACCGCGGGGCCCCCCAAAATACGGGGCCGCGTTTCGGCGAACGCACTGAACCTGGCTTGCGCCGGCCCTGATTACATATGAACAATACAGGGTGTCCCAAAAATGTTGTAACACATTGAAAGAGGTGGTTCAGGAGGTGATTTGAAACAACTTTTTCCATAGGGAAAATGTTGTCCGAGACTTCGTTGAGGAGATATTAACGGAAAACACTGACCAATCAGAGCGCGAGTATGCCGGTGGAGCGTAGGCTCTGCGCTAGGCGGCCGCACTCATACGCTACCGCGGCCGCTCCACCGGCATACGCGCGCTCTGATTGGTCAGTGTTTTCCGTTAATATCTCCTCAACGAAGTCTCGGACAACATTTTCCCTATGGAAAAAGTTGTTTCAAATCACCTCCCGAACCACCTCTTTCAATGTGTTACAACATTTTTGGGACACCCTGTAAATATGTAGTATACACATATGTATACGTATATATTACATGTGAACAATATACATAATTAGGTGCAGAAATTAATTTTCTGCCTTTATATTCAATCATTTATAACTGTAGTTTAAATAAGAATATTTCCTCGTTATTTTGCTACGTTATTTTACAAACCTTCTGAATCCTTAACCTCATCTCCATTGTAGTGACTCTATGCATAATACGTAACCTAAGTCTCAACCTGACGGTCATTACAATTTAGATATACAATAGTTTCAATTGGTAAGGCCTATTCTTCAGCACCTGATAATATACTGACGTCAGACTAATAATCTGCCAACATTACCGAATAAAGCAGCTCCTGTAACTAATCTATAGCCTTTCTGCTGTAGGAACAGATAACATGCTCTTTGCAGAATTTGTCCCAGCAGATTTGGTTAACAGGAACTGTATAAATAAATGGAACGAACCCCTAATAAGTGTTATATAAATATTTGCGTGTATTGATTTTACACGCAAAATAACTTGCAATTAATATATCATCGTTATCAATTATTCGGTCTTGTTAAAATCTGACATTAACAAACTTTGGACAAGTAGATAATTTTACATCAACATTTATTGCAAAATCTTACATCACAATCGTTTGATTTTCGTAGATTTTTCGTTTAAAATTACTATTATACAAATACACATGGGACGGAAAATATATACCGTATATATGTATATTTATAACACACATGCTTAATGACATCTGGGTAAACATGCACAGAAGTAGTTAAAGGTACAGAATCTCATAGACAAGGAATTTAGGTATCGAACAAAACGTGAAGAGTTTCAGATGTATGATTAATTGCATAAACATACTTTGTATCTATAACACATTCGAAGCAAAATTTATTTGTAAATACGAGAGAACAGAAGTACATACATATAACCATGGAAACATATCTCTTTTCTGCACATATTTTGCAACAATTTGGCATAGGTTTTTATTCTTGACAATTAGGGGCACAATGGAAACAGTAATTTTACATCGGCAATATATATGTCTTTATTTTACATATCATTAATAAAAATTATATATCGGACATTTAATAATGTAAAGGCATCTTACATTCAGTCCTTTTAACAGATTAGGGTTTTCTAATTAAGACAAATTTCGATTAAATTTTTTTTGCGAAGAAACACATGGAATTTTCTAATCATATTTCAACTATTAAAAAAATTAAATTTTTGTTTAATTTACGTATGTACGTACGAATGTCTGAGAATACGATTTCGTCTAAATGACTGAATGGATTACGATAAAACTTTACATGAAAGTTTTATATCCTCATCGTGAAATTTTGATTTGGTGTTCATTATAATCGATGCATGAATAATGATGATTACCTTCTATAGTTTTTTGGTTTTTCTGATTTCTTATTTGTAAAAAATAAAAAAAATGTTTCAGATAAATCTTTTAAAATGTCAAATTTTACATCGAGAATGGATACAATCCGTTTCTTCATTCTACCTAACAAAGATAAAGTTGATTGGAATTTCAATTTGATCATTTCTAGTTATTCAATATTCTTCGTCAAGCCTTTTTTCGTGTAATTTTGTTTCATTTCATTCGTTTTCACTTAATTTATCATCTGGTATTATCAAACCACTTTTCATGCGATTATTCCTTTTTTTTGATCGCTTTTGTTCTTTTTTTTTTCTTTCTAATTCTGTCTTTGTTAATTTTCTAGTTTCGATAAAATAAAATATTCGACAAAGTCTGATTAAAAGCACAACGTTTTAGTATTTACTTAAAAAAATAAATGTTAATTGTCTTTATGATTGTCTTTTCTTTGATAACATTTTATACTTGTATACTTTCACAGCAATGTACATGAAAGAAAACATATCAGTGGCATAATTTATACATGTATTTTCAAATACTTCCGGGTATAAAATAAGCGTTATTTCAAATGAAATTGTAATTTCACGATACTGTTAATGTATTTCTGCCACGTGAAACAATTTCGTGCAAGTATCTTTATTGCCTATGTAACATGAATATTTGTTCTCGATATAATACACATACGAGCAATGATAAAGGATCGCTCAGATCATTTCAATGGTAAACGTATCGTATAGAATATCACCAGGATTAGACGATATCTAATTTATCCAAACTGAACATACGAGTCAATTGAATAATACAAATATCAGTCAAATAACATGATGTTTTCGAAGATGATAGTTCAGTTAAAAAATACGAGGCCTTGTCGTACCTCTCGGACTAGAAACTTTTCAGGTAGATATGAGCCGCTAGTTATGAAAGTCGTGTAAACCCATTTCAAAACGAAAATACAGTTTCTGCGGGTAAAGCTAAAATACTATGTTGTACTTGTCTGTAAAAAAAAGCTTCTTCGTAAACGAGGTAATATTTCCACATGAGAGTATCGACTTAAGTTCAGTTGCTATACAGAATGAGAAAACCATTCATTATGAAAATGGTGTAGATCTATGAACTCGAATGATCGTACGTTTTTATAATAAAAGCCTTATGTACTATTCGGAGATGGTAAATTGTCGTTGGATCGTATTAGGATCGTTGGATTCTTAAAATATTCAATTTTCAACATTTTACACAATAATGTAAGAAAAAAGTTTTGTTCATTTCAAATGACAATTGCGACCTTTGGAATAAATCCTAAAAGTAGATTCTGGGACAGCTGACATCTTAAAGATTTCTGCGTGAAATGAATCGAAAAATTTATGATGCGTACTTTAAAACATACGTAAAATATTCTCAGAGTCACAAAAAGATTGAGTAAATTTTTCTGTCAGAAAAAAATCACGGAAACACTTGATATTTTCCCATCTCTGTATAGTATCTAGGTTAATAACATCAGCTACATACAAGGACGTAATGGTCTTACTATCGTACACACCAGCCACACCACTATTACATCAAGAACCTTAAACACACTCTATCGCTGTTTGAAACGTATGCAAAACCTTTATAAAGATATTATATGTATGTAGATGGAGTAGGGGAACGCTGCAGCTAAAACGAGAAAGGAAACCGTGGTACCTTACCTATCTCATGTTTCTTATGCTAACGATAAATGGTTATCGTTTATATTTTATAAGTCACATAGATAGATTACCGCGTTTTTTGTTCTCTTTTCAACATTGTGACATTCCTACTTGCAGGCAGTTGGATGTCTCCTCCGTTCTAGCAATAACATCTCTATAAAAACCTTTTCTATCTCGAAACAAAGAAAGATTTACTTACACCACTTTCATAATGATCGGCTCATATAATCACACGGAACATTTAAAAGGCAACGTGTTTCTCAGAGCGTTCACGAATGGAGACCTTCTTGCTAACGATAGATTGATCTTGAACGTTTTGATCTTGAACGGCATGAGCGATATTTTCGTTAACTAATGCCCTGAGAGCAGCTGCCCTGCGCTCTCTTTTCGCTTGTCTCTCAGAAAGCTCCTCCATTTCGGACTCCAGATCGTTCAAACGGGCTTTGGTCTGTTTGGCCCTGGTCGCGGCGGCGCTAACCGGTAACAAATTCTCGTCCTCGTTCAATAGCTTCGACCATTTCGTCAGCATCGGCTTGGTCTCCGTTATGTTATCGATTTCATCGAGAAGCTTCGAACGTCTTTTGCTGAAAGCACTCTCCGCGTCCTCGATCGTCGATCTCATGTCTTGCATGTCCCTTCTCGCGTTTAGGCTATTCTCGAGAAATTCCTGCTCCTGTCGCAGACGTCGTGATTTTCCCAACGTGGCGTCAACCTCGTCGTCTAATCCGAACGTGGCTAGTTTCGCTTTGAGGTGTTGCGTCGTCGCGGCGACTTCGTTAGCAAAGTTTTCAGCGAATCGACGTCTTCGTTGGCCACGGCTGTCGTAGACGATCTCCTCGTTTTCGGGGAACAAAGGGTCGTTGGCCAGGGATGACAAAGGCACTGTGGGGGCGCGGATTAAGGGATCTATTTCGGGGTCAAGGTCACGTCCAAGAGAATTGTTGCGAGGACCGGGGAGGTCACGCGAGCCTGTAAAAACGGATACCTCAGGATACGTTCATTGTCTCGATGGGTTCTAAATGATTTAAAAACTCTTCTTTCAGAATGATACATACTGTTAGAATGTAATGGAAGCATTTAGAGTGGTGATCGCCTTTCACGACAAATTTCTATTCGAATAGTAAACGAATCATTCTTAAATCAATTTCGAGAAGCGATTTAATCGCAAGTTAACCGTCTATGGATCGAACTTGCAAGGCATTTACTTTGATATATTAGTTTGATATTTCGATATTGTTATTGATTAGAGACATTATACAACGAAGACGTATACGTCGTCTCGTGAAGAAACTGAAATTATTTTATACGAGCCCACAGAGGGTAATTCTCATCTTCGTGCATTTCTTCATTTCTCATAAGAATTGTACAATCATGTTTATATATCTTGAATAAAAAGTAAATATATTTAATAATTCAAGTTCGCCATGTTTTCGATATTTAGTTAACATTCTTCGAGGGAAGAACATTTCTGAATCATTCTTTCGTTTAATTTAATTTCATATGTCACGTTCCGTTATTAAACAACAAATTTAATCAGCTTATATGATTATATTTGAAATATTTGCCAGCCGTATGATTAACTTGACGCTCGATAAACGTTACGATAGATCACAAGACATATAAGCAATTGAAAATCTCGATCGTTGGAAGGAACACAATGGCCAAATGCTTTATTTAACAGGTACAATGATACAAACATTACGGCCAATAGAAGTAAAAATACGAACAACCACGGTACAGATGGATTATATACAATGTAAAGAAGTGGAAGACTGAAAGTTTGACCGAGGTAAAAACCATCGTTTTCACGAGGCTACGAACACTACCTGTGTCGTGTATATTACGAGATAACGTTCGTATACTAAAAAAGATGTTATTCGTGTTTCGGGATACAATAAATCATTAGACAGCACTGCTTCATGTTGCGATTTTATTTTATTTTGTTACGAATGCAGAGGTTCTTTTTGTTTTCTTCTTTTTTTTTCTTTTTTCTTTTTTTTTAGCGATCATTCTTTACGGTGATAAAATTTATTGTGTCCGTAATAATACTAGATTCAAGAAACAGTACATTCAATTCCTTTCACATCAGGATTTGGATTTGAACATGCCACTCACGTGATTTCAAGGAGTCAAAAGATAGTTCAGTATTTCCTTATCGAAAAGCTACTGATTACGTTCATAGCGGTTAAGGAAAGAAGGAGCAGGATACGTTCACCCCTTAAAACCATTTTGGAAAACGACTGAAGATGTTACCGATGTCGCCTCGGCGAGCCGCGATCTCGTCGGCTAACGAAGTTCTTGGTTCAGAGAAGAGCGGTCGAGAGCTGTATTTTCGATCTAAGTGATCGACCATTGGCTTATAATACGATTCTCCTTTGTCGTAGTTGCATCCGTAGACACGCGTACGCGGCCTGCTAAGAATTGGTCTTGACATCTTCACGGGATTGCTTTGTCGTTATCTGAAATTTAAAGAATTTATTAGGCGCATGTCTCGATTTCCTTTTATCGTCGATGTTTGTCTATTCGTCTTTCCTACTCGTCATAAATAGTTGACAAAGTTAATATAATATCGTTACCAGGGCCGGCGTGACCTTTTGCGGGGCCGGGTTCAAAAATTTTGCGTTGCCTAAATTCACATTCAAATCCTACATTTGAATTTTACAACGCGGAATTATTTATTTACAAATGCTGTATATTTTTTATAAGATGAATATTAAATAATAATACTTTGATGATTTTTGTCATTCCTTTCAATTTAATCATCGCTACTAAAAAAATGTCTTGCATCTCAACAAAAATTGCTTCCATTTGTTAATGGTATCATCAGTCTGTAAAAAGTTAATCAAAATCGGTGCCTTTTAATTCAGTCATTTTCGTAGACCGTGGGGCCTTTTAAAACGCGGGGCCGGGTTCCGGCAAACGCGCTGAACCTGCCTTGCGTCGGCCCTGATCGTTACAGAGAACAAAAGTTTAAAGAATTCATTAGAAACACTGCAATATCCGTCTTTCCTTTCATACGTTCGTTCGTTTTCTTGTCATAATTAGTTGTACAAGGTTTATAAAATCACCATAGGGACAAACAATTTAAAAAAATTATTATGAACATTGCGATGTCTGTCTTTGCTTTCATCATTGATATATTAATTTGTCTAATCGTCTTTCTACTCGTTATAAATAGCTGTACAAAGTCGATAAAATCATTATAGAGAAAGAAATTTTAAGAATTCATTAGAAACATTACGATATCTTTCTTTTTATTACTGGTATGTTTGTTTGTCTACTCGTCTTCCTACTCGACACAAATAACTGTAATAGGTTTATAAGATCGATATAGAGGACAACAATTTTCTTCTATTCAATTATTAATACTCTTTTATACAGTACCTATAAATTAACCACTGTATCCCTTATCATATACAATGTTATAAAACGATCAAATATAAATAGTAAATATTCGATGAAATCAGACAGTAGAATGCAAGCTGAACTCCACATGTTTTGAGTAACCACGAATATATCTATAGTATCTATAGGAATAGAAAATTTACGAGCGTAAATTTACGTAATTTCGAGCTCTCGGAGCACGGTCTTATAAATAACACCCCTACGAATGAGCTCGACTGCCTGTTTTTGGTAATACATGTAGGTATTAGGATTAAAAAGATTACTCAGGCATTCTAATAGTAAATGTATTAGGTGGACTGGAAAGTAATGTCGTTTTTGCTATCTTAGATACTTGTTTATCATTTATCAGCTCATTGATTTCTCTAGCATTGAAAATTTGCACACTAGGTGACAAAAGGCTGCTGACAATGAGAGTGATTACTTAATGAATTAAAGATAGAAATTTATTGGAAAGTTTGAATTTAATGTAAAAGAAACGACATTACTTTTCAGTCTACCTAATATATACAATATCACTTGGACCAGATTATGTAATTTTTCTCAAAACTGACCATATGAGTTACTTAAAAAATATTAATGAATATTAACAAATCAGTCAAATGACTTATAAAAGGTGTCCAATTTAAAAAAGAAACAACTCAAACTCAATTTCCAATTTTCAGGAAAAAATGTTCAAAATTTTTAACCAGAGGTTGCAACTTCAACTCGTTTAAGACAAAGAAGAAAAGCTACCTTTAAAATAGATTAAATAAATAAATTTGTAGGTCTGGCAAGTACAGAACAGTGAAAGATTATAATGAAAAAGAGGAGTAACGAAATATTTTTACTTTTCCTCGTGAATGTGAACCGATTGCTTCCTTCGTATGAACATAACAGAATCGCTAGACAAAATACACAAATTTTGTTACACGAGTTACGACTTTGCACACGAACTTATGCATGGTGCAAGAATAGCTGACGAGACGTGCGTTGCAAAGTTAACACGTATTTTCACGGAAATACCCGAAATTGAAATTTCAATCGCGTTATTCTTGAAACCGACGCTAGGATATCATAAAATCTTCCGATTTTTCTAGATTATGTAGAAATACAATTTATATAATATATCCAGCCATGTTTTCCTATTTTTTACAAATTCCACAGAATATTTAGCGCACACTTTGTAGTGTAAATTTGATTTTGTTTTTCTAAGTACCCATCGTAAATCGAAAACACATTTGCTCTTAAGGGAGGAATGTTTTAAAGTACATCTGGTAATTTTTTCAATTCATTTCACACAAAAATCTTTGAGATATCGTATTTTCCTTTTAAACAACATTTTTTTCGATTCGTGAGAATGATAACTGAAAAATTAATTGACCTATCGTTTTCAAACTTGATGTACTCCTACTTTATTTAAATGCCATGAATATGAACTAAAAAATTGGAATAATACTTTCTCCTTAATCACTCTTAAAACAATACTATTTTCAACTTTTTTAGCAGCAGTTCAGTTTCATTTTTAGAAAACATGTTAATAATATAAAAAGGAAATTTCATTGTTTTCAAATAAAAATTGTGATCTTTGAAATTCCTACCGGTAGCAAGCAGACTCGGGTGAAAACTTGCTATAGGGAATAGGTGATATCTCGAAGATTTCTGTATGAAATGAATCGAAAAAATGACCAAATATACTTTAAAACATACCTTAGACATTCTCTAAGTTAATCAAGAATTAATAAAATTTTCCTCCGTAAAAAGAAATCATGGAAAACATTTAATACTTGATCTCCTAATGTGGTTTCCCCTCTTAAGAAGAAAATCAGTTTACATGAAGCTCGGAGGCAATGTACCATCGAGAATAGATACCTAAATCAAGGTAAAACGTGAAACAGGTTGCCAAATTGTATTAATTTTACTTGCAACCACAATTGGCAATGCTTGCTATAGTTTGCCACTCGTGTCTAGTGAATGCAAACTGTACTAAATTTATCTGTGACCGTCTGACGCTATTCGATGAAATTTTCTTAGATGACGAATCGTACAACTATATCGGTTAATGTAAGCAATAATACATCTAGCAAGCTCACGGTTAAATAGCGTAACTCGTTGGATAAATTTACTTTTCAGTTGATTTCAAATTATTAATTCGCTTATAGATTTACGAAGATGGCTCCAAAAGAAGGAGTGGAAACGTTAACACTTTGAGTGCCAGACAAATACTCATGAAAGCATTCACGAAGATAAAATTCTGTTTTTATATTAGGTTGTCCCAAAGTTTTCTATCGCGATTACTGAATCGTTTTGTGTGACAGTATTTATATAAATAGATAATTTTATTTCTTAGGAGTTGTTGTTATAACAGCAATAGAACAAAGTATTAGGTTGTCCCAAAAGTTTCTTTCGCTATATTAATAAGTAATAAATGCACAATATTTTATGTTTTATGTTACATTACTGAATTGTGCACGATTCATTTTGCTCCGTTATTGTTACAACATGAATATCTATGAAATTTGATTGTCTATTTATATAAACACGACCACAGAAAATAATTGTGTGAGAAACTCGCGAAAGAAACTTTCGGGACAACCTAATAGATCGTATACAACTTAATAATTTAACATAAAATATAAAATATTGTGCATGGATTACTTACTAATAAAACGAAAGAAACTTTTGGTGCAATTTAATATAATTGGGAATTATGGTCAGTGTAAAAAGTATTCGTACAGCAGCCAATTTAAAATAAAACTAGTAAGAAAAGAAATAAGACTGAAATCATGTCGTTTTTATATGAAACACTGTGTAAATTGAAAAAAGATTGCATAATAATTTAGCCAGTTATTTAATTGAATTAATTTGTTGTAACGTGAAGTAAAAATAAAATAAAGTACAAAATTTCATTGAAATAAGATGTCATATTGAAATAACATTCGGTAATTAATACACGATAAAACGAATAGTGTAAAATTGTTATTAAAACATTGACAAAGTTTAATTTAAAGATTTAATTAATGTATCGAATGTAGTGCGGTCTAATTTGTTGCATACATTTTTTAAACCTAAAAAGAAGGATAGAATTTTCGCAACAATTACACACGTATATGTTTCGTTTGTAGTGCAAGCTATTTAGAAATAACTAAAATTAGGGGTAATTAAACCTCTGTTTAATAAGGCTGCGCGAGAATTTTTCAAGCGTGATATTATTAATCTGCCATCGCTTTATTATAAACACTTGAGCCGTGTATGAATGAAATTAATACAGAGCTCCAAATACCTCCATCTAGGTTTGCTCAAGGGAGTCTACTATGAGTAACCAGTAAACTGGAACGAGCAACTACATGTTGCTTAAAAATAGACCATGTCTAATTTGGTGTCCGTGAACTGAACTGGCACACAGCACACTCGAGTCCCGGACAACCGCCTCCGATTACGAAGTCATCTACCTATATCTCGGTCTACCATTCTTTTCCCAGAGCTACCTCTTATCACTTTTCTTTATTCTATTCTTCTCCCTATTTCCCAATCATTTCATGCTACCCACTTGTTTCATTTTCCTCTGATGTTTAAATATAAAGCGTTGATTCAATTGCAATCGAGTCCTCGAGTTACGTGGTTTCGAGTTACGCTGATTTCTAGGTAGCCGAACTTATGTTCGTATAAACATTTTGTATGTATACATGTACTTATTAGGTGTCGAAATTAATCCTCCGCCTTTATATTTAATTATTTATAATTCTAGTTTAGATCAAAAATATTTTCTCACCATTTTTATTACGTTAAAGTATCAACCTTCTAAATCCTCAAACTGATCTCTATTGCTATGTATCTATACACGCAATCCAAGTCTCAACCTGATGGATCTATCTTGCAATGAATACGAACTTTAGTAGCCATGAAATGTTCTATACCTAACAATTATCAAGTACAATCTGTTAGAAGAAAAACAATTAGTAAAATTTGAACTTCATAGAGTTAGATTGTAATGACTATCAGGTTGAGACTCGGGTTGTGTATTTTGATCCATTTTAACGGATAATATGTTAAGAATTCAGAAGATTGGTATTTTAATGCTTAATACAAAATGACAGGCATTGGACATAGGCAAAAATCAATTCATAATGGAATTAACATTATTAATTCGTTACGTTATAAGTTTATTTTATATTAAACATTCGAAAAAAATATTACGAATAATTAGACGTAAGTAATATAACTAATATGATTATCAACTTTTTAGTTATCAACTTTCATATTTTTGTAAGCAACCTAAAATAGAGCGTAAACAATAAAGTAATATTTAAAACTTGTAATAATGTTAGTATAAAATAAAAATTTATTTTGAAGATTCAAACATAAAGAGATGAAATTATAATAGCAATCAGTGTAAACGTTGTTAAACAGTGTTAAACGTTAATGCACTGAATTAATTTAATTATGTGTTACAATAAGACTATTCTAAATATAAATGTTTCCTTAAAGTTTATTATTTAATAGAAATACGTTGAAGCACTCACGATAGTTGCCAGGAAAAATTGTAAATAAAAGAAAAAATACAACTTTTCACGTTTCGATTTTTATACCATGCTTTTGTTTCTCTGATCTGTATGTGTTAGTATTTTTTGCATGCAATGCAACTAAATAATAAAATCTTTAATCAAAATATTATACTCCATTTCATAAGTATGTAAAATATATTTTTTTTTTATTTCAAATTCATCAATTTTTGTAGTTTATTAACATATTCTGTGTAATGGTTATATGATTCCTGTATATATTTCATTTTAGTATTTAAACAATTATTTGTGATCCTTTCCAAAGGTAACATTTATCTATTTAAAAATATTATTGTTTACAAAGAAACTCCAATCAGTGTGACGTAAATTATCGTATGGAAAATATGTACCTGATTGATCTGACTTGGCTTCTTTGTTGAACATTATGTTGTTGTTGTTGTTGTTGTTATTGTTATTATTATTATTATTGTCTGTGTTATCAATATTTGTATGGTATTGCTATTTACATGATGTGTCATTTTGTGGCTGGAATTAGTTATGGCATTAAGAAAATACTATTAACACATAAACAAAAATAAATTCAGTAATGACTATAAATGAATGTCTATCTCTAGATATCAATGATACTATAGTACCGTAAACATTCAATTTCATAACTTCCTTAGCAGTACGATATATAATACACTATTAATTATTTTTTACTAATATTTAAATAGCAATATGAGAATAATCATAAGAAAATAAGAAAAATAGCGGTCAAATAGTAATAAAATAAATACTGCGTGAAAATATTATACTTGACATTTGAGTACTCCATAATATGTTGCAAAAGACAAATTTAACAACAAATTTTTTTTTAATATATTTTACTTCAGCTGGTAGTGTAAAATTGAAAATAATGAAAGCAAATGTTATTTAAACATTTTAACTGTGACGTTAATCAATAGTTTCGAATATAATACATCATCTATTTGTTTACAAAACAATAGTACTTCATAACGATCTTCATAAATGCATAATCATAAATAAGTATTAACTATTGTTCTAATTGAATGTTTAATGTACTTAAAATAAAATATTTCTATAACGCAAAGAACATCAATGTTTTAGAAATAATTAGAATACTAATGACATTTCAAACAGAATAATTGAAAGATATTAATTGTAACATATAATTAATGTAAAATACTAAAAATTTAATATAGTCAATACATAATTATATATACGTTAATCTCAAAACTGCAGTAAAGATGCTTGCAGCGTCAAAGTATACCTGTTAAATCCGTTTTTAAAATTTGTAGAGGTTTCAAAAATACTTAATATTTAATTAACAAACTATGAATTTTGTTTTTTTACAGGTTGAAATCGTCAATAATGAAATAAATTGAAATAGTGGTAATAAAAGTCATTTACGACCAAAGAAAAATGATATATATTATTTAAAATCTACATATTAATAATACGAAAAGTAGAAATTATTTTTGAAACAGAAATGATTAATTAAATTCTCGTTTAATAACCGAATTTATCACACAAAAAGTACACACATATAATGCCATTGAAATTTCACTAATTACTATATTATCAATACTTAATTTATCGTTATTGATAATTAGTTGATCATTAATCAATAATTCGATATTGCAAAGCTGGTTAATAGAAAATAATTTTAAATTAAATAGGGAATATATGTTATGATGTTACAAGTTAATGTTCTTTTCGGTATTGTATTTATTGTACTGTACTTCTTCAGCAAGAATAATTTCCAAAATGGTTAGCGCCTCGTTATAACAGTATATGTGATACCTCTAAAATATCAAAGCAATTTGATTAGACGTGTGATCGATCCCTGATACGCGCACAAATTATACATAAATATATAAATCCGTGTAAGTAGCATTAAAAAATTGTAATTTCTATACCTGAACTTACAAGGTATCCTTTCAGATGCTATTTCTTCGGAAGTAGCGGCACGACTCCCACAATAGTTGCAACGCCCGTTATTTCCCACTCCTTTCGGTGACTACCCCTTCCCTTTTGTTGTTCCATCTTTGTAAGATGTACTTCCTAGCGATTTATTTACACCCGGTGAACATTATTAGGGTGAACCAAAAGTTTCTTCCGAATTTTCTTCCTTCCCTCTGTATTCTATTCCAACGAATGTTGAAACTAAAATAAAACTATTCAAGTCTTATGTTATATACGGAGTGACCAAAAAATTGTTCTGATAAAAACTTTTCGTGAAAAGCATCTCAAGGTCATATTTTCCGAAATTTCAAGGGCATGAATGGTTTTCTTAAATGGGATGAGGTATTTTTATTAATACAGTATTGTAGCTGATAAAAAGGCGAATTCAAACTTGTATAATATATTGACCTTCAGGTGACCTTGTGAGAAATTGACATGTAAACAAACAAAATTGCTTCATTTATAATTACTTGTAACTGACAGAAACAATCGTGATAATAACAATGAAAATGTTGACTATTCATTCATTGCAACTACAGATACAATACTGTAATGACCAATGTACAAAGTTTATTAATATTTATATTTTGATATATTCATTTTAAGAAAGAAATATGAGTGAGAATGTAATAAAAATCATATATTTATTATCTGATAATACAAAATTAAATTACAATACACGACTGCCATGCTTTTGCATTAACCATTCTTAAAATAGTTTTCATTCTTCCTCCTGATCCTACATCGTATGTCATTGGAAATGCTTTGCCCGGTTCTCTCTCATATACCTTTTGAAGACATTGTTCCCATTTGACTGGTGAAACGATTTGTTTTAATATATACTTTTTCACTAGTCTTAAATTATTATATGGTGTAGTTTTGTAATTGGAATACACTTGACATCTAGGTTCATCTAATTCTATCGTACTTAATATTTTAAAAACGGACTTCAAACAAGGTTCCATTAGTGGTGTATGGAATGCTCCTGATACAGGTAGCCTAGTTACATCTGTTAACCCCATTTCTTTTTTATTACTTTCAATATACTGTAATGCTTCTATGTTTCCTGCTAATATCTTCCTTTGTGTGCACAAATAAATAGCAACTCTGAAAATAAATAAATTACATAATTAATTCTGTAACAAAATTATATCCTCTTATACCACTTGTTAGTTATTAACTAACAAGTTTGAGTGCCATGGGGTGTGATCGTGTTCTTTGCTTTCAGGGTCCAAAAGTGCCAGCTCATTCTTTTGCCCATGCTAATTTGAGTTAAGTGGTTACATGCTCCGATTTTATTCATGCTTCTCTTTAATGTTACGATTTATCGAGGTTGTACTAAACTGGAATTTGTACTACCAAAAACTTTGTAACAATTATGACATTCCTTGATATTGAATTAGTGATGCACAATAATGCTGTCTGGCACTTATAAACATAAAATAACAAAAACAAAATCATGTTTCTTAATACTTTGTGACCAGTTTTTTAGGAATACCTATGGCATTCAAATGGTTAAAATATTTTAAACATATTCTACCTGCATACTGGGTTGTCAACACCCATTTCCATTGCCCACTTTTCTGCCTCTTGACAACTGTTAACAATTTTTGCTGATGGTGTGCAGTTTACAGATAACATACCCTGGGGTACTCTTTCTGAAGCATATTGCATAGCTTTTCCTCTGACACAAACTAATCGAATTCCATCTTCGAACGATATAACACCAGAGAGAATTAAAGAAGTTATTTCCCCTACACTATAACCTAACGTAGCCATGCAATTTTCAAATGCTATAGGTCTTTCTTCACGAAGTTTTTCTAATGCAGCCAGTGATAAAACTACTGTAGCTGCTTGATTAAATTCAGTCCTATCCAATTTTTCTTGTGGCCCATTCAAACAAATATCCAACAA